GCGGCAACTCAGCATCCGTAAGCATTGTCCTCGAGACCTTCCCCTTTGCGCGCCAAATGCATTGTATGTACCATCGACCTTACTGACTGATGCTTTATCACACAGGCCAAGGATACCCAACCCTCTGCCAAGGACTTGAACTCCGAGAAGCAAGTTGCCCTGCTCCTTTCCAAGGGCGACTCCTAAGTTCTCTTCCCCGGATGATACACCCCTCACTGTTACATACTTGTGTTTAGCCTATCAATTTCTCTTCTCGACCGTCTGTTCATATATTCCACTTGAAATCAAATCAGAATTTCACCAGTGAGATAAAGAATCTTGACCTCGTAGCATTGTGCCCCTGGTTAGACCCCTTGACTGTCTGAGCTCATTTTTCGAACATACGCTTAGCTATAGTCGCCTTCTCGCTTTCTCGCTTACGACGAAGTTGCCCCGGAGGGACTTAGTCCCAAAATGTGAGTTGGCGCTGTAGCCGATCTCGTTTACCGCCGCCGCCTGTAACTACAAGCACGGGGTTGATCACCGGGAATCGTTGAGGGAAAGAACCGGCTGCATCATCTCCCCCTTTTGGCCCATTGCATTCCTCCATAAATGCTTGTCTCGTTCTTCTGAATACTCGAATGCGATACTGTTGAGATTCTCTTTTCACAATGACCGTTGAACTTTTGAGGGCCCAAGCGGCAAACAGTCTTGCATGGGATTTCCAAAGATAATCCTCTTTCTGTTTGACTTAATGAAGAAAAAAGAAAAAACAATTGTGCGAATTATTTTGAGGACATGAAGGAATTTCACAGAGATATCAGCGAAACAAATTTTGTTTGGCTGGAGGGGATGACTTGGGAGGTGAAAGTGGTTGTAGATGGAAAAGAAACAAAAAAGTGGGGTTTTCGACGAACGGCTACGTCCCTCCGTTTCACTCCGGGGCGACTCATCCGCAAGCCAATCGTATATCACATCTACTTCTTGGTATACGAACATTGACTGTTTTGTGTACAAATAAATAACTCATTTTTGTACATCAATATACAAAGTACTTTGTTTTGTAAATGGAAACCAAGACTTTGTTTTCGTATATAAATATAATATCACTGTTCTATCAAACAAAGAAAAAAAGAAGGCAGGAAAAAAAGAAAAGGAGATGAAGGGAAAGAAGCAAAAAGGAAAAAGAAAAGCTGGACGGAGGATGGTAGATATAGGAAGGCTGTAATCACCTATTTGGATATGTACTATTACTAGGGTGAGAAAGAGAGTAAAAAAAAAATTGATTAAATGTGGAGATTATCTTTCATGTCGGTTTTATAAGAAAAAGAAGAAGTGAGGAAGCCGCCGAATCAAACAAAAAAAAAGAGAAAGTAGTAATTATGGATGAGAAAATGAAGAGACCGAAGTATTTTGTAAATCAACGAAAAACACACAACAAAATGGCGAAACAAGGAGAAAAAAAGGGTTGAAAGAGTTGATCTTATAGAAATAATAGGCGCAGAAGAGTCTTATGAAAGACCGACGAGTGTAAGACACTACACGAGTTGAGGATGAAGAGAAGACGAAGCGAGCACACCTTATGAAAGACCGACGAGTGTAAGACACTACACGAGTTGAGGATGAAGAGAAGACGAAGCGAGCACACCTGGTTGTGCGAGTTGAGTTGAAACAGTAAGATGAAACTGAATGAATTTCTTGATCAAAAATAAAGAGATAGAAATGAAAGAGAAGAAAAGAAACCAATAAGAACCTTATGAAAGACCGACGAGTGTAAGACACTACACGAGTTGAGGATGAAGAGAAGACGAAGCGAGCACACCTGGTTGTGCGAGTTGAGTTGAAACAGTAAGATGAAACTGAATGAAGAAAAAGAAAAAGTAGGAAACGGTACAACGAGTTGACTACTTAAATACAATCTCAACTAGGTTTCATCTAGGTTACAACTGTGAATATCACTACACAACCGGTTGCCGAGTATGCTTGTACCGAGGTAACTTCAACACCCCCCCTTGCTCAAAACCGGTTTATCTTGAGCTTGATGATTGAATCGACGTGCTTCTTTTTCGGTAGTGCTTTAGTGAGAAAGTCGGCGAGTTGATCATTTGTCGGAACGTATCGGGTTTCAGCTCGTCCTTCATTGATGAATTCCCGAATCCAGTGGTATTTGATAGGGATGTGTTTTGTTCGTTGTTGAAACATGGGATTGTTGGCGAGTGCGATGGCTGATTGATTGTCCACCATGAGAGTGAGTTTTTGCAAAAGAGTTATCCCAAGCGAGTCGAGTAGGATGAGAAGCCACTTGGCCTCTTGAGCCGCTTCGAAGAGAGAGATGTATTCAGCCTCCGTGGTTGAAACCGCAACGACCGGTTGCTTGCGAGAACGCCAGGAGATGATTGAGTTGTTGAAAGTTGCAATGTACCCCGAGTAAGAGCGACAATCGCCCTTGTCATTTGCCCAGTCGGCATCGGAAAATACTTTCATATCATGAGAGGACGAGCTGCCGTCAAGCAATATGCCGTGATTTCGAGTGCCTGAAAGATACCTCATAAGATGAATGACAGCCCTCCAGTGCGTGATACCGGGTGACTCCAGATGCTTAGACAGTTGTGAAAGAGCAAAGGCAATATCAGGACGAGTGCAGACTGCCAGATACATGAGCATCCCAACTGAACGCCGATAGTTAGCTCCGACTTGCTCAAATTGTTGGCGTTCAATAGGAGTAGCACGTATGAGTTGGGTGTTCGGCACCATCGGAACCGAGGTGGGTCGAGCGTTAGACAGGTTGTGATCGTCCAGGACCTTGGCAAGGTACGCTTCTTGAGAGAGGTAGAGTTGCTTGTCGTTGATGCGAGCGACCTTGACGCCGAGTAGGTGCTTGAGTTCACCGATGTCGTCCATCTTGAAGCGCTCAGAAATGAGGTCTTTGAACCGTTGGACGTCATGGCTGATGATGACCATATCATCAACATACACATGAACGAAGCATTCCCAGCCGGTGACCTTGCTTATGAATAAGCATGGATCGGCGGGGGAGGGTTCGAAGTTAATCGACACGAAGAAACGTGATAGAGCGGCGTACCAGACTCGTGGAGCTTGTCGGAGACCGTAGATAGCCTTTTTCAGACGAAGACAGTGACCGGCAGGAACAGACAGACCAGCGGGAGCTCGAAGGTAGACTTCTTCCTCTAGCTCACCGTTGAGAAAGGCGTTTTTGGCGTCCATCTGATGAATAGCGTGCCCTTTCGAGAGACCAGCAACGATCGCGGTACGGAGAGCGGCAAAGCGGCCGGTGGGAGCGTAAGTGTGAAGGATGTTCTCTGCGGCTTGAAGGGATCCCTGAGCACATAGACAGGCCTTGAATTTGGATACAGCGCCGTCTTCGTCAAGCTTCTTGCGAAACACCCATATGGTTCCCAACAACCGACGACCGATGGGGATTGGCACGATCTCCCATACTTCTAGATCGATCATTGCGGAGAGCTCGAGCTCGACAGCAGCCTTCCATTGCAGTGCTTCAGCCGAGGCCATTGCTTGGTTGTAGGTTTGCGGAACTCCGACCGAAACAAATGCCGTTGGATGAAGGCCAAGATCGGGCAAGAACTCGTCGAGCATGAGTCCATCGAAGTGGTCGAGGATGGCCATGTTTGCTCGTCGCTTGTGAGTGATGATGTTTGCCGGATCGATGTCGGAGGAAATGTCGTTTGGGGCTTTTGTTGGAGCCAAGACAATGTCCCAGCCGGGTCTTGGTTTGGGGTTGGTGATTGATGCGGGTTCAGGGGCGGGATCGGGAGTTTGGGCAGCAGAATCCACGTTTGAGCCATTCGGATCAACGGATAGTTCCGGATCGTGATAGACAGAATCGGAGTCAGACTGGTTGACCTCTTCGCCTTGACTATCGGTATTCAAAGAAGGAAGTATGGAAGCCTCTAGTTCTTGAAATTCCTCAGAATCCAGCATGTAAGCGCCGTCCAGGGTATCAACTGAGGAGAGAAGGGAGACTCCTGGGAACTCCGCTTCATTAAACGTAACGTCATGACTGCGCTCGACCTTCCCTCCTGGAAGTAGAATGCGCCAGTTATGCATTCCCACTTGATACCCCACCATCCGACTCTCTTTAGCTGCATCGCCAAACTTGCCTTGCCGAATTTTATCAGGAATGTTGAGAAAGGCTTTGCACCCAAACGGACGAAGCCGAGAAGTGTCAAACGGAGTGTCAAACCACATCTCATATGGAGTCTTCCACTTGAGTGTGCGAGTTGGGGTGATGTTTTCGAGGAAAACTGCGGTGGACACAGCTTCTCCCCAGTACTCTGCCGGAAGTTTTGCCTGCTTAAGCATTGCCCGGGCTTTTTCACTCGTAGTTCGATTCCCTCTTTCCGCCACGGCATTTTGCTGTGGTGTATAGGGAGCGGTCACGTGGATCGTGACCCCTTTGGATTTGAGGAATGTCGTGAATTCCTTAGAATTAAACTCTCCACCTCCATCAAAAATTACTCATTTAATAGGTCGATCATGTAACGTAGTAACATTATTGTAATATTCAACGAACTTTGAGAAGGTTTGAGACTTAGATGAGATAATAAACACATGTCGATAGCGAGTGAACCAGTCGGTGATTTTGAAGTAGTAAAGCCCTCCTCCGCAAGACGCAGGGGTGATTTTACCGCTGAGGTCCATATGAACCGATTCGAGCGGATGAGTGGCCTTTGGCAATGTAGAAGGAAAAACAAGACGATGAGATTTAGACAACGAGCAAGCATCACATTTGACTTTTGGGGATTTGATTCCGAACATTCTTTTCAATGCGTCGTCGCTGCAGTGTCCGGCGCGTCTATGAAGCAATTGAACATCAGTGATTGTTGAGAGTTGAGCTACTGGATTCGACAACTGACCTTCATGAGTCGGAACGATGCGAACCATGCAAGTGCCGCCAACAATTGATGCTTTGAAGATGACTTCGCCTTCACGAACTAGAACGAACGCTGACTTCCCGGTACGTTTGATTTCACAACCTCGCTCGTAGAGTCTTCCGAGGCTGATTAACGTGGCACTGAGTCCAGGGACGTGGAGTGCTTTCATCGGGATGATAGTGTTGTTCTCGGCTCGGACGTTGACGAAACCTTTGCCTTGCACCTCGATTGTATTTCCATCAGCGAGTTCAACATGGCTGACTTTCTGTTGATAACCTTTGAAGAGTGACTTGTCGGTGAACATGTGATGTGATGCACCGCTGTCGAGGTAGCAGAGATTCGGAGTACTTATTGCCGCGAAAGCTTTGATGGTACAACGAAGGTTGTTCCCCGTGGAATGGGATTCACCTCCATCAGAGTTGTCTGCTTGTGCCTTCTTGGCCGCTGCCCTTATGTTGGCAAGATGTCGGCATTCGCTTTCGGTGTGTCCGGATTTAGGGTTGTGCTTCCCCCCAGTGCACCATTCGCGCTTCTTCGATTTGGTCTTGTTTGACGATGAAGCGGCCAGGGCGGTGTCTTCAGTTTTGATTGTAACCGTCCCGGAGGTGGTAGATACATCGAGTCGTTTATTGTTGAACGTCTCTTGAACTTTAGCGATGGTGAGTGGTCGCATTGAGTGGAGCAGGTCTTTGGTGGTGTCATATTTTGACGGAGCTTTGAATACGATGTTTTTGGCTACAAACAATTCAGTGATGTGTTGATCTTCGCCCTCCATCTTGATTCCAACAGATGCCATCAATTTGAGGTGCTGGTCGACTAACTCGAGATAGGCGGTAAGATCGCTTCCTTTGTACTCAAATGTGCAAAAGTCGTTGTAAACCCTGGCTTGGTTGCCAGGAGTTTTGGCTTCGAAGTAGTCCGTCAAAAGTTTCCAGAGTGCTTCTGGGTCTTCATCATTCTTCTCAGTGACGAATCGATTGTAATTTATTACTCCCATGTTCGAAACCAGTATGCCAGCCGTCTTGGATCGGTTGGTCTGATATACCTCAAGTGCTGTCGGATCAGTTGGAGCGACTTTAAGGGTGAGGTACTTTCTAAGACCGAGCTGTTGACAGTATCCGATGACCTTTTGCTTCCAAGCTCCAAAGGTGGTCTTGGAGAGATCAGGGATTTGATGTTTAGGTTCAGACATGGTTGAGTTTTTTTTTTTTTTTTTGTTTGTGAGTGTATAAAGCGCGTTCCCCTAGAGTTGGAACTCTGGGCTCATAACCTATAGAAATAATAGGCGCAGAAGAGTCTTATGAAAGACCGACGAGTGTAAGACACTACACGAGTTGAGGATGAAGAGAAGACAAAGCGAGCACACCTTATGAAAGACCGACGAGTGTAAGACACTACACGAGTTGAGGATGAAGAGAAGACGAAGCGAGCACACCTGGTTGTGCGAGTTGAGTTGAAACAGTAAGATGAAACTGAATGAATTTCTTGATCAAAAATAAAGAGATAGAAATGAAAGAGAAGAAAAGAAACCAATAAGCACCTTATGAAAGACCGACGAGTGTAAGACACTACACGAGTTGAGGATGAAGAGAAGACGAAGCGAGCACACCTGGTTGTGCGAGTTGAGTTGAAACAGTAAGATGAAACTGAATGAAGAAAAAGAAAAAGTAGGAAACGGTACAACGAGTTGACTACTTAAATACAATCTCAACTAGGTTTCATCTAGGTTACAACTGTGAATATCACTACACAACCGGTTGCCGAGTATGCTTGTACCGAGGTAACTTCAACAGATCTGGAGGAGGATGAGGAGTTGGATGAGGAAAAGGAGGAGGAAGGAATGTGGATTGTGGAGCGAGTTGAGTAGTCGTCAAGATCGCACATCCCATCCAAAAAAACAAAGCTACCAAGATGTCGTCCAGTCGACCAAGCCAATCGGTCACCACTACCTCCACTCCATCCTTCCACACGTCTCTAACATTAAAGAAGAAGACTGCAAAAGCTTTTGAAAAGAGTTGAAAAAGACGTGAGAGAAGGGCTCCAATGAATAAAAAACTTGCGGTTTTTCTTTGGGGGGGAGGGGGACGTGTTGGGTTCTATCAGATCAAACAAAAAGAAAAGACAAAGAAAAAAGACTGAGAATAAACAGAGACATGCTAGTGCATACCTTTCTTTTTCATATCTGAACACCAATCAAAGACAACCAATCCGACTGACTGACAACCCACCCAACCAAAAAATAAACAAAAACTGAAAAACACGTTCACGCTTCCATTCTTCTTTCTCTGTGTAATATGTAGACGAGAACCCTACACAAAAGCCCCACCCAATAAAAAAAACACAAGCAAAAATAAAAATAAAGTTAGTTCAAACCGATAAGTATCTTTTGAAAAAAAAAAAGAAACTGACCGGACTCCCAAGATTTGGTTTTCCCGCTCCCTCTTTGATCAACCGCCGCCCTCCCGGAGAACAAACAAGACAAGAACGATAAGAAGCAATACAAGAACTAAACGAACTCCCCTTTTCATATGGTCTTGGTAAACGATAGAATAAATAAAAGACAACTTTTTTGAAGGAAAAGAAAAAAAAAAACGGGCCGAGAGAGAGAGGAGAAGATCAACACAAGAGAACGAGAAGGAAACCCCGCCGACATCTAAAAAAAAAAAGGATAGAAAAAAAGATAGTCCTGAAAAGAGAGAATTTAAGAAGAAGAAAGCCAAACATTCCAACACTCTCGATGAAAGCATTTGCCGTCGCCAGCGAGGACGACAGCCTGGCGATTGACGAGTCCGCGAAGCTGGTGCTGATTGCGAAGCCCTCGCTGATGAGGAGTAGAGTCCCCGGACCTAGTGTTCCGAGACTTCAGAGGGTCCAAAGCCGAGCCCGAGAGTGAGTCAGAATTCGTGCTCTCAGAGGGATGATTCTGAAGATTCTGATGAGAAGAGGAGGGAGTCATGTGGCCGCCGATCGGCGGGTGATGATGATTGTTCGAAGAAGAAGAAGAAGCGTGTTGTTGATGATGTCCATTCGTCCCTACATTCGATTGGACCAGCGGATCTTTTCTGGGTGGAGTAGTTGTAGTAGTCATATTAGAAGAAGAATTATGAATGAGAAGCGAGGAGGGTTGAGGATTGTTAGGATTGGCGACGATGCCGAGATGAGTTCTAGAGGATCTGTCGAAGTGATTTGTAGGAGTAGAAGAAGAGGAAGAAGAAGTGAGGGACCGATCGAGCAAGGCCGATTTGGATTCAGAGAGGAGCAGATGAGGGGAAGGATCGAAGGGAGAGGACGCCTGTTTGGGCAGGCTTCTAGAGGGAGAGGAGGAAGGGGAGGCAGGATTTGGAAGGAGATGGTCGATGATAGAGAGAGGTGCTCGAGGCGGGGGGCCAAGGAGGAAGGGTGAGGGAGGGTGGTGGAGGAGATGGTTGGGATGGCTCGGGTTCGGGTTCCGGTTCAAGAAGGAGTCGCCCAAATGAGCGTCGTGGCTTTGCTCGAGCTGGCTGAAATGTTGATGATAATGCGGATGGCGGTTGAAGGTCGAGGGAGACAGGGAGCTCGAGGAGTAGCCTTCGCACACTTGCTCCACTTCTTTTCCCTTGATCGATTGCTTCCGATTGGGCGTCACTGAAGCTACCACCGGTAACCCAAGCTTCTCGATCAACTGTAACCGGTCCGGATGATTGATCGTCTCCCCATCATCATCATCACCATCACCATCATCATCATCATCTTGTTGTTGGTTTTGCTCATACCCATCATTGTTTTCTGAGCTCTCAGATTCGACAGACGATCGATGATGACTGTGGATGAGGATCGGTTTCTGACACTTGAAGCAACTCAGATCGGCCGGGCGGACACCCTTTTCTTTAGCCTTAGCCAACCGATCGACATGTTCGAACAAGTCTTCATCGATCAACCGACCGGTAACCTCCAAGACATCCCCCTCGAACCGATAGGTATCCATGATCATCAGGATGATCGAGCGGAACTCGTTCGAGGGAATGCTTCCACTCTTCGACTCGACCGTCGAGAGATCGGTCGATGAGCATTCAATCAGCCTTCGAACTAGGTTTGAAAACGAGATCCGATTGGAGGATGTGGTTCGGGAGATCAAGAAGGAGACGATCGAGGGTAATAGTCCCTGGAAGTTGGCGATCGCGTTCAGGTTGACATCATTTTGATGCTCGACGAGACTGTTTAAATCTTCTGAACCACTAGCTCGATGAGGATGGACTGAAGAAAAACCCTGAGGGGGTAGTCGGGGAGGCAGCAAGGAAGCACAGGCTTGGATACACTGGACGGTAGTCGATAACAGATAGAACCAACAATCTTCACCGGTCAATCCATCCTGAGGATTCCTTGTCCGTTCCACACAAATCTCAGCTGCCGTATGAGCGCAACGAGTCAACTGAGTGACATAAGAATCCAGAGTCTTAGTTTCCGCTTGAGAAGGATGGTCATGATTGGTAGCCACCCGTTTGGTAATGAAGGAGGCTTGCGATTTGAGGATGAGATCGAGCTCTCCAAATGACGCTCGAGTCTTTCCAGCTTGGTCGAGTTGCCAGACAAGCGCGTCATAGATCTGTTCTTCGCGGCAAATCTTGACAATATCTGAGGTATGATTAACGAGAAGAGTATCGGACTTGAGATAATCGAGCACATGCTCTGGATCAAACTTGCCCAATAGGCCGACGTAGCGGATCCGAGTGGTAGCATACAATTCAGGCTTCATGCCCAGAGGCTTCTTGAATGCAACTTCGGCCTGGAATGAGTCATTGGAATCGAGATCAGAAGGCTCGAGTAGCGTTCGGAGATACCTGAACTGATTGGACATGTCCCCAATTCGTTCAACCACTTCCAGATGAGTCTCAGGTCTAAATTTGTGAACTAACCAGACCGTCTGAGGGACATTAATTTCGATCAATTGATTGACGGAATTCAACAAGACTTGAATGGCCTTCACTTCGATCGATTCATCTTTCTCCTTCGTTGGACTCGACTTGGATGAGGAGGATTGCCGGTTGATCTTCCGTAGAGTATGAGAGAGTTGATCGAAGATTCCAAGATCGAGGTCAGGGTTTTTCAATTGAGAATGAACAACATCGATCCACATCTCCTTCTGATTATAGATCGAAGTGAGAATCCTCCAAAAGCCGGCCTCCTTGAAGAGCTCTAACAGATCGCCCGTCCCGTTCTCAACATCAGGAGGAGTGTAAACTGATAAGAGAAATTCGACGGCAAGTTGGCGATCCTCGGTTGTACTTCGATCATCATCAGTCGACAGACCGATCAAGATCGAATGCAAGGTCGAGTTTGGCAGGGAGAGGAATTGCGAATACTTGGGCAAGTTTCTGGCGATAAAGATGTAGACGAACGTGCGATCACCGGCGCTGAATTCGGTATCACTGGATGTAACTTCAAGTAAGAGATTGATGATCAGCTGCCGGTCGATCCGTTTCTCGCACTCCCTTTCAGGATAATCGTGTAACCAGGAATCTTCGAAGGCAATATCCAAGGTATCCAACATGGCTTCAGAATCTAGGATCAATAGCATCCGCAGGTATGGATAGGTCGGTTCTTGTTGTCCCTCCTCAGTGGTCAAGATTAGCTTTCCGTCTGGCTGGGGCCAATGCATCGATTTGCCCGAAAACAAGAACCGATAAACCTCCGATTTGGCGCGGGAGGCTCTCGAATATTCGTATGGGATCTTATTCGGGTACGACAATCCACTCAAGATAGCTGAGAGGTATGGGAAGATCTTGTAGGCAATCGGCACAAGACCTTCGATTCGGTCCTCGGCCTTCACTGGATTCTCTGGTCCGAAATCTGAATTGCTGTTGAGGAGGTTCGGATCTTCACAGTATTGTTGAATCCTTTGTCGACTCGAATGGATCGATTTGATGAGATGAAGGAACTCGACGATCGGCCCGACAAAGTCATTCATCGCTTCAGTGTAAATATACACCAATGCATCATGTAACATCTCGCGCGAACAGATTGCTAAGGCTTGATTGATGTCCAGACAGGCCGGATCAACGCGACGGATGATCTGATCGATCAGCTCGAACTGCTTGCGATCTTCATGCAGTCCAATCAGTCCCTGGGTGACGGCGGTCGGCAGGGTGCTGATTTCGGATTTCAGGATGAACGGTTGGAGTTGGAGGAAGAAGATAGTTTCGATGCCATGTTCTTGATACTGTTCGAACATTTCATCAAAGATGAAGTCCAATTCGCCGATTGCGATCGACGCCTTAGCGCAGCTCCGAACCAGTCCTTCGAACAATTCCGTCCGATCGACCCCACGACCGTCAAGATCGAAATGGGTATCATCCTCCATCCTACGATCCGAGAAGACATACTCCAACGAAGCGCGCATGATCTCGATTAGCTTGGGCTTGACCATCGACTTCCGCATTGAATCATCACTGGGTAGCCCAATGGTCTCTAGATCGGCTCTTCCGATCCAATATGATGTCGTCAAGTCAATCGCTTCTGTTAAGGAGCCCACTTCGACTAATTCTAGGATTTGCTCGGCCCACGAAACTACCATACCCAATCGTAGATCATCGGTTGTCTGAGACGCACACCACCCTTTCAATCAACAAAGAACCCATCTAAACATCCACAAAAAAAGAGAGAAAAGGAAGGGATATGATAGGGATGGGGGTGGGGGGAAAAGACTTCTATGCGGCGTGTTCGATAATAAATTAATTGACATGGAGGAAGAGGAACTTACAAGGAGGAAGATCTTGCCTTTGTAAGCTTTAAAGCTACCCGCCACTGAGCCACCAACAGATTGATCAGAGCCGATGACCGAAGAAGAAATGTTGGGAGGAGTTGCGAGCGGATTAGGATAACTTTGATTGAGAGCGGCTTCCTTGTAGATATTTAATCGGACGACTCCACGTAGATCGATTGGCTCAAATCCAGTACGTTGCCAGATCTGAGTATCAATCACCTCGAAATGAGTCGAGGTCAAAACACAAATAATCTATAGGTAATATTAAAAAATAATGTGTTTATTGAATGTCAGCTCATCAGAAAAAAGAAAGAAAAAATGTACAAAGATTCAATGAGTGGAAGGGGGTTTTCATGAGGACTTACCCTCCAACTGAGCCATTGAATAGCCAAGACGTTCGAATTACAGCTCCATTTTTTACCTTCGACAAACCTCAAACTAGAGAAGTTACCTTCCAACCTCCTAGTGAAGCCTTTCAAGAAACTCTCTTTAGCCAAGATATCTGGCTGGTTAGATGATGTACCGCCATGGGTTCCTTTAGAATGATCGGAGATGACGGTGACAAATCTGATGGTCTTGCCCCAAGAGAAAGCCAACAGTGGGTCCATCCCGACTCCGTTCCCAGTGAGTGGCTGAGTTTTCGGATCGTTCCGATTAGTTGGGTCTAACTGGTGATTCTTCTTGACGCCGGAAGCTTCCTTGACCGTCGAACTTGGGAACCAACTCAAGCTGCCAATGGCCCCATTTTGATTTGGATCAGAGACGTTTCGCATGCACCTCCAACACGTCCTGGGGGTCGGTTTGAGTGCAACGATGATCAATTTACTGGAGGTCAAGAGCGCCACAAGCCCATGATGGTCTGTAGGATGTGGGGTGGGTCCGAGTGGCAGAGGTAAGGTGCCAAAGATCTTGGTCGGTTTACGCGATTTGGGAGCACCAATAGACGCGCTATTAATTGAGAAATCGGAAAACTGTCGGCTATGGCCACCACCAGTCGTTGTGTCCATGGCAAGCGCTGGATTGCTCAGGCCATTTTGGGGCCCCATCGTTCCCTGATCGGGATACTTGCCCAAGATCCTAATCACATCGGTTGATGCTAATCCTAAGACTTGTCCGAGCGCGTGATAAAAGGCCAGGCCCGTTTCATCGGCGGAGACGATGGCGGTGTGTCGAAGGCCGATAAAGTCGATATGAATGATCCGGTTCCCCAGCAGATGACCTTCAGCCCTTCCTTCCTGTACAAGTCGTAAGCTCGTCGGCAGTACCGTCCGGGTCGGTGGGTTCGGCTTGGCAAGGTCGTAGAGGTAGATATGACCCATGATGTGGCCGACGGCAACGAAGGTGTGATCGTGTGAGATCGAGAGCGCCGAAACAGCTCCAGCATCTCTAACTAAGTCCGAATGAGACCAGCAAGCAAGACCACGTCAATACTCAGTAGACAAACAAAACGGGATCGACTATTTTGATATTTTTTTATTGGTGAGAGAGAGAGGAAGTAAGAAAAGCTAATCCTTACCAACCGCATCACTGCCCAATACACATTTTAGATTAGAGGCATAATCAAACACCATCGCCCAGCCCTTGGCTGTGCCCACGACAATAACCCCACTGGTCGCGATCACCGTAGGCAATCCGAGGAGGGTGTTTGAAGGGGAGTTAGCCGAAGAGACGATGGTGGATGGATGAAGTCTTCTGGGCACCGAATAAATTTTCTGAGTGATTCGACGGAGAGAAGCCCATCTGAAGATTCCAGTACTCGAGAATTCCTGGGCGTTGGGTTCGACGATGATCGATGGACTTTGAAGACCGTTTGAGTGGTTTGAATGGTTTCGATCGATGAGCGATGGGGTAGGTGAGTAAGGTTGTTCGGATTGGTGTCTCAATTTGGGCGATCGATCGTCGTACGAATGGTAGGATGCTAGCGTTGAAGAGGACACGCATCTTTGGTTGGGTAGCTGTAGTGAGGAAGGTGAATTGTTGGTCGTTGAGGATGGACGTAATGATCGCAGGCGAGAGAAATTGGAATTGTGGGGTCGAATCTTGCTGGTAAACCATAGATTTGAGGAGGTGTTTGAGCCTGTGATCGAGTGGGATGGTGTGATCGAACTCGATCTTCGGTTGAATCCAATCCTTTGTGATATACTTGTACTTGGACTTGAACTTGGAGATGGATCCTTTCAATTTTTAACGATCCAGTGATTTCGGTTATCATTTTAAAGCGCGACAGAAGAAATTAATTAAAGTTCATGGGTAGCAAAACAAAGATCTAAGATAATACTCACGTCGGGTGGAATGACAACAGGAGGTGATAGAGGTGACTGGCTAGTCTGATGTTGATGATGATTGTGATTTAAGATGGGAAGGTTAGGTTTATGTGGAGGATGAATGATCGGTGCTTTTACGGAGCCATCGTCGGATTCGGCGAGTTCGATGAAGGACTCGAGTACTGGATGGTCTTGGCCATTAGTCTTGGTATCCGATAGGATGATCGGCTCACCTTCAGGATCGTCGGCCTGTTCTTCGTCCATCGATCCTGGTGAGTTCGGTTGTTGGTGATGACGTAGTTGGTTTGAGCGTAGGATCTCGTCGAGTTTTGTTGCATAATCCTTCTGGTCTTCTTCATCTTCCTCATCATCGAATAGCTTGACATCCTGTCCATCGTATATAAATTCTTCTTCTTCTTCTTCTTCGTCTTCTTCTACATCTCCTCCTTTTGCATCTTGTTCTTGTTCCTCTGCTGCTGCTGCTGCTATCTGTTGTCCTTGGTCTTGTTGCTGTTGACCAAAGATATCCTGAAATCGTTGTTCGAATGTTTTGTTATTCTCGTCTTGTGCGCTGCTCCTGAGTCTATGAAACTCTTCCTCTGATGATGTTGGTGATTCCATGGCTTCGTTCTTGTTCTTGTTGCTGCTGTTTTTGGTTCTCGGTCGTTCTGCTGATCCTGTTGACCGTCCTCAGTCTGTTTTTCTTTGAGCTAGCACTGCTTATGTAATCAGCACCTACCCCACTCTGCACCAACTCGCGACTACTTCAAACTGCGCCCGAATACAACCAGCAGTGCAGACATCAATAGCATCTTGATGGTTGGATGGCACTGGATTGTACAAAAACACAACCTGCCATCAATCCACCCAAACCAAAAAATGAATACCCCCACCATTTTTTGTCAATGGACATGGTCATGGAAAGCGGGGTGTGTTACAGGCTCAAATATAAGGTTTCGGGGGAATCAGTGTATGTCAAATGACTGGAGAAAAATAGCCAAGAGAGAAAACTCCCAGGTATGCATGTATTGAGCACAGTTTGTATGCTCTATTTCCAACAAAAGAGGAAGAAACTTTAGCAGTAAAATTCATACAATATCGGGCGAAATTATATACATCTTATTAGGGATACAAACAAAAGCAAAAAAGTATCACACCGCTCCACTTTTCTTGAGTTGAAAGAAACAAATAAAAGAGAAAGAGAGGAAGAAAGATGCATCTCCCTTTGATTTTTTTTTCTTCTTTTTTTCCACATGAGAAATTCAAACAAAATCCAAAGACAAACAAACAAAGATGAACAAATGAGAGATCTTTATGAGATTGAGACAGTTGAAGTGTTGGTGAAGATGGGGGGGGGGGATAAGGGAAGAAGTCAGTAAAAGTCAATGAAGATTGCCTGTTTCGCAGCAAGTCGAGCTATCCGGGTCAGTTTCAGAAGCGATTCCAAGACTAGTAGGGCCAAGAAACCGGCCATTGACGGTTCGTGAAGTGAGGGCAGAAGCAGCAGCAGCAGCAGAAGGAGAGAGTTGTTGATGTTGATGTTGTTGTTGAGAATGAGGTTGGCTAGGGATGACGGGTTCTTGGCTCTGTTTGGTCTGTTTCCTGCCCTCGAAGACTTGGCGCTCGATGCGCATCCGATGCTCGATCATCCGAATCTGAGTCTCCCAAAAAGCAAAACCCTCAATCAAACTCAGGCTTCTTCATGAATCCCCCAGATAAGGAATTGGACCAAGAGACTCCACCTTCGGCCATGTCACCCGTTCGCCCACTTCGATCATCCTTGAAAGCTCCTCCCGACTCGGATCTTCCAGGATCTTGAGCCAGTCTTGGAGTCGTGTGTGCGGCCAGATCGTCACCGTTCCTTCGAACTTTTGCAAAAAGACGGCCGTGAATGTCTGCCCCCCGAACTCAGCCGGCAAGAGTTCCAAATCTCGAATCACCTAGAAAATACACATTCGCCCGACGGTAAGCATTATGAGGAGGATCTGATTTGGTTGAGGAAGCCCATCTTCATTTTTTTTTCTTTGAATTTGTGTACTTGAAAGGTGACCGACCCTTAGGTTCTTCACTAATTCGATCTTCATGTATTGTTCCAATGCGCTCAGAAGGAACCCGCCGCGCCAGCCTTTACCTCTGCGATGAACGACGGGTTGACCCGGTGCACCCCTCGGCTGAAAGAAGAACAGATGGACGTGCGGATTGACCTGCGAGACGATGGAGAAGCTGGTGTTGAAATACTGGAGATTGGTCCCCCAAGAACTGATTAAATCACTCTCCTATTCCTCAAAAACACAAAAAAAAGGAGAGGAAACTTGATTTCGCTCACGATGTGGAGGCTTTCCAAAGGCACATCAACCCTCAAACTGCCATCCTTGTGCTTCCCTTGGAACCGCCATGGCCGGACTCTGCCGTCCCGCTTCTTCTCCAAAAGCACGACCGGATTCATCACCAATGGGACGGCGGCCGAGGCCAGAATCGCGCTGAAAATCACACAGTTGGGGGCGGTGATGAAGTTCAGAAGCGTCGTTGGCGAATGAAGGTCGTGCTTGAGTGGATGGAAAGCTTCAGCTTGGGTGAGCTGGTTGGTGCAATAGTCAACCCTGCTTACTGGAATCACCGAGACATTCAAAATTCGTCCCGTTCGTTCGTAGGCCTCTAGGAAAGTCATCGAGCCCATCGTAAAGAAACATGACTGTCGATGGAAATTTAGTGTTCGAAAGGGGGGTGATGGAAGATGTCGAAATTGACAAACCTTTTTGGCCCAGATTACCGTATCAAATCGCGCGCCGGTCTGGATCATTCTCGGCAGCCAAACCTGGATAAATCGATAAATTTGCGTTAGCACTGCGTTGGAGGAAGGTAAAGCCCAAGTGGAAGAGGCTTAACCTGGATCGACTCTTCTGCCCCGGTGATCATGTCGGCCAACTCAGGGACTAAGATCCGCTCGAGTTCCTCGTCGGTACGCGTGCACAAAAGCGCGGCAACTGACAGTCTCATCTCAGTAAATTTTGGGTCTGTGCTCGTATAGGAAGCTGATCTGAGTGTACGCACCAAGTGAGCCAGCCGATGCGCCCGTGATGACGGTCGGGAGGAGTCTTGCTTGGACTAATGCTTTGATGACTCCCAGATGATCTTTTGAAGGGGCAGGAAAGTGAAAGGTCTTAGTTGATTATTGGGATCTGGAAACAAAATGAAATGGGACAGCAACAAACTGTGCATTAAGAAACATGTATCAGGGAGAAACGTACTCACAATAACCGAATGTCCCGCCACCGCTTAGGCATAATGCAGAGGTCCCAAGATTCTTGGCTGTCCGTCGAAAGAAAGTCGTCTTCTCCTGAGCTGATATCTGCGGAGTCTCTCTCAAGTAGATGATCGATTTCTCGACTGAAGCCCAGTAATCAGAAAAAGTGTGAGTACGTGTGTTATTCCAGATGATTGAGTTTTGTATTTAATTCCAAGAGCCATGTATGTTCAACTGTAAATCATCTGAACAAGCTTCAAACTGACCTTCATCGACGTAATTCTCGATCAAAGTCTTAGTACCTACGAGTCACAAAGAACGGTAGATGAATGACATTGCACTTAAAGACACAGTTTAACAAATAACAAGAGCTGGAGAGAAAGAAAGAGAGAGAGAAAAGACGGACCGAGATGGGTTTGAGAATAGAGTCTTAAGGATTCGATGCCGGCGAAGTTAGCGCGAAGACAGACTTCGAGGACGTCCTTCACGCCCTCGGCGTCATCGATGAGTCTGGACCGTTCGAGACTAATGATCACTTTGCGGACGGAGGTGGAGTCGTAATAAGCGTTGGATGAGTGTTTCTTCCAGGGCTCGAATCCCTGCAAAGTCAACAGTCCCCAACAATTTGGATTAGCCTACTTGTTCGGCTTTTGTTTCTCTCAAGTCTGTGGAAGGAGCTCCCCCTGTAAGTCCGTCGCGACTTACCAGTAACTCATCGAGTTCGAGCGCCGTTTGCGCCCATTCCTCATAGGTCTTGGCACCCGAGAGCTTGCGCTTTAGTCTGCCTTCTTGCCCCCGGCCTTTAAATAAAAATATCAGAAGCTGAGCAACGATCCTACTTTTTTTTTGGTTGATGTCTGACGCGGTTTAGAGGTGACTTACAAGAAACGATGATTTCGATTAATGTGACGATTTGTCTGACTGAGACATATACCAAAATCTCGAGGAGGGACGCAAGACCGATGACCATCTGGATGCAGATGAGACGAGAACCACTTGAGGGGATCAGGATCGAAAGAAGACTGGCGCCCGGGAGCGGTGTGGAGGAGTGCAGGGATGGGACGCACCAGGAGCGGGCAGCGGAAGAGGTGGTATGCCCAGCCCTCCCGGACCACGTCCTTGCGAGGCCTGAATGTCCTGGTTCGCTTGTGGGTGCATGGCGTCGAGCTTCGGCGACGCGGACGGACGCGTTGAGACGATGCCAATCTGGAGGGGGCATCACATCAAGAATTATGGATGGGATCGTGTAACAGAATGTTTGGCAGTCAAAAGTTGTGTTCGACTTAGGTGAAGATACATAGAGATGATGATGGGATGGATGGAGATGATGACATACGGGCTGTGGCGATTGGATGGACCCGATCGGTCGGCTTGAGCCGACAGATCAGTCTGTCCCGAGAACTCGGCATCATGAGTTTCATGGGCGTACAAGGCTTGTCGGAAGACCTCGATGTCGTCATCCTTGTACCACCTGCGATATCGCGAGGGTCAGATATTTTTGTAGGTCGACCAGGCCGTTGCAGGAGAGAAAGCGGACCACTCAACTTCTTCTTGAACTCCTCACAGCCCCAGTCGGCGACACCCTTGGGGGGATGGGGTCGGTCTGGATCGGCTTCCCCATACGGACCATGCTCCGCTGTCGTTGGACGGGCCGTCGTCATTCTGAATCAATGGAAGACTCGTCGCCTCTACAAGCTCCTCGTCGATCTATAACGATATCCAACGAGGTCTCGCCAATTTCCTGATTTGTTGTGTTTCGTTTTTCTTTGCTCGTTCTGAACTTTCAATGTTCGTGGCGGATGATGCAGATGTGATCGCTTGAATGCTTCGGGCTATTTAAGCTAGCAGCTCACTAGCTTCCCCCCTCCCCTCTTTCAAACATTTTTAAGTTTCTCCGCGCCCTGATCAACCTGGCAGGTGAGCCTCGATTCGCAGGGGTTGGAAACGTCGCTTGATTGGTCCGCCTTCAGGCATTTCTATTTATCCCCAGCTCTGGTGTGATCACTGGGTGCATCAAAGGTTCTTCCTTGAGTATTAACTGGAGGAATGGATACACCGAAACCTTTTTTTTTTTTTTTTTTTTTTTTTTTTTTTAAAAAGTGAGATTTGGCCTATGGCATTGCACACTATGAAACTAACAAAACCATATCTGTAAATACAATAAAAGTCTGAAACTGATTGAATGAGAAAGCAGTATGTAGTAAACCAGGGCTAATGCAAAGGAGAAGAGAGAGAGGGGAACAAAGAAAAAGAAACAGAGTAGAAAAAGGGGCAGAGCGAAAAGAAACAAAAGAGAAGTTTATCCAACTCCAACCTTAAAATAACTCCGAAATAAATCAAGGTAAACATAAATACATAGTCTTGGCATCTCTCGTCACTCAGCAGGGATCGGCACCTGTGGTCACACCACCTGCATATACTGAACAGGCGGAAAGTAGGGTATGATTATGGTCGGCCGACCATGTCATCGCGCCTACAATAGTACGATACTTGGAATATTTGGGATGTCACCAATATCTGGCTTCCGGAGGCCAGATTTTTCGACTAAGTCCCCTCCTCCAAGCTTCCCCCCCTGAGGGCCCCTGATCTTTCACCAAGTCCCTACTTTCGACCCCCCCCCCTCCCCCGTTATGTTACATCACCCACCCGTATCACATCCTCTCTATGGAACATCACACCTCAATAAATATATCACAACTATGCATATGGCACCTAAACCATACTCCCTCAGACCGAGCCTCACTCCGCCGGGAGCATCTTGCCGGCACATCTCCCGAGGCGCTCCGGCTCGCTACGATCGCCGACTCACCTCACACCTCATAACACCTCATCACCACTTTCCACCCTTCATCAACACCTCAGTACTCTTTCTTCACATCTCGTTCTATCCCAACCTCCTCGCAGCGTACAACCATGATTCATCAGTTGTACCGATGACAATGTAAAAAATTTCCAAGAGCATTTTATCGTGTAAAAATTTCAGACAGAGAGCATTTGTATCGACTAGATTGTGCATTGTTGAGAAAAGGACATAGTTGAAAATGAAATGAAAATAAAACAATCGAAACTGGTGAATTGGAGATAAGAAAACAAGAGAGAGATGTAGATAGCCCCATAGTTAAAATAAAAGAACAGGTGAATCGGAAAAGCGAAAAACAAGAGAATGATAGAAGACTAGCAATGTCACTGAGCCTCATTTATCCATTCATCACTAGCATCTTCGCCGTCGCCATCCAGCGCACCCACTTCAATGACAGTATCCTCCAAAGTCTCATCAATCCCACCGCCAGTCTCACTTCTTGTTTTCCTAGTCCGGATTCGGCTGATTAATTCATGCCACTGTTTGATGTACGGTTTGTTTGGTATTGGCTGGCACATACTCCAGAGCCAAATGACATCTTCCGACCAGTCTTCAACAAGGGCTTCGTGTTCGTCGAGACGTGTACGTAACTCTCGCTCGATCATCTTGAATTTTTGCCTTCTGCTTATTCCACCTAGATACATTTCGTCAATGTGATCAAGTGGAACAAGTCGCTCTTCCTCCGCGCCACTAATCCGGTGTCCGTTTTCATCCTTTCGGTCTAGCAGATTGTATCCTGAGGATAACATAATGAGTTCTTAAATATCATGAAGTGATAAAGAAATAAGAAATAAATACAATGAAAACCTACGCCTTTGCAAGTAAACAATAAACTCAACCAGTTGCGCATGATGTGCTATTGCCCAACCAACAACCCGAGCTAACTCTTGGGCAATGAGCTGGAATTCCTCTTGAATCCTGCTCAGGACCAAGACACAGGTGATACCTGCTCGAACATCTGGATCGACGGCCCAAGGGGCTTTTGAGTGGAAGTATAGCCCATCATTCCAGAACTTGTCATCCAATGGCAACTCGGAAAACAAATCGTACGTTAATTGCCCCTGGAAGCCCGATACTGATTGATCTGGGAATCTGGCAACAAAATCCGAGTGGCATTTGTTGAATTGGGCTATACTTCGGTTAACTGCTGGGCGGCGATTTCCGATGGCCTTGAAAATCTTCTCTTTCAACTTCGTTCCCAATCTTGTGCCCATTGTTTTAGAATTCACCACTGGCTGTAGTTCCGCGTGTCGGTTGACTGCATGAATAAAAAGTTCGGACTTGGCATCCCATAGCAGCAACAGCAGCCTCTCCTCCTCATTTCTATCTGTTCCTAAACAAACAAAGCAGGTCAATTTTTATTCTAAAAAGAAGAACATTTCTACATCTACATACCTTGGCTAGTGGAATTTGTGATATGCAGCTCCTCGGCAAGCTTCTTCAACTCTTTGGTTTTCTCGGAAATGTTATTCAGTAGCTCCTCTACCTGGTCTTCAGTCGCCAGGAACACTTCCGGCCCCATTAGTCGATTCCTAGTACAACCGACCCAATGATAGAACCAAACCCTTTGAAACTCGGACTTCGGAATAAGACTAAGACTACAGAATCTTACCTTAGTAGCTCAAGGACACCCTCCTGCTTGTATAGCTTAACCAGCTTCGTTCTTCGATCGTGTTCGTCCTCGGTGTGATCCTTCTGAAATTGACACTGATTCTTCCACTGCCGCATGAAAAACCCTTTGGTATAGTTCACCCCTTGCTCAGAATGAGGGTTTTTCGTGTCAAGTAGGCCTGCCAGTTCGGCTCGGGCTTCCCGCCGACGTGTAACAGCGTTCCCGAACTTCCTCCGCAACCAGAAAGCTAAAGAGTTTAAGTCAAACTAGCGGTTGTCAGCATCATCCCAAGTAGTAATCGAAGCAGACCAATCAATCCAAAGATTCAATTTTGCTTACCTAGTCGGGTTATTCCCCTATGATTGTGAAATTTCAATCGATGCGCTATTGCTGCCAATCGGTGGTTGCGAGTTGCGTACCGTAATGGACTGACAAGTGGTGATAAATATGACCACATTCGTTCCAATCCCTCTCCGTCGGAGAGGCCCCACCCCTTATTGTATCGTGGGTTATAGTCCAGTTGACATAGCCAATTATGTACGTAGGCATGGAAGATCGAAGTAGCAAACTGAAATCGAGTTCGGTCTGACTGAAATAGTCCTCGCTAGAAAAGGGAAGGGAGGAGGTGAACGAGATGAGATTGAGATGCCACCAAATACCCTGATCAAACAGGTACTGACCAATCTGATAAATTTGTCGAGAGAGCATCCAATGTCGTATAAGATGCCCAGTTTCCGAGTCGGCTCAACGACACCTAATACCCTATTGATCAGTGCACACGGAAGGTTTCTCTGCTCGCCGGACTTGTGTATATTTTCAAGGTATACGGCCGCATCGTGGCGGCAGCAGCATCCCATCAAACCGGTGTCGTCGCATCCTTTCCAGGTTGATTCATTTCTTTTATCATCAGCTGCTTTATGTGCATCTGCACATCGGTCGGCCTTGTGAAACAAGGGCACACCAATCAGCACACTTCTAGATAAATAAACATACATAAACATACAGATGGGAACATACCGATGCCGGGGGCTTGTTTTCGAGTTCCTTGGCTCTGATATGGGCACTCATGTCTTCTACTTCCCGCTGTTCAAGGAATATCCGAGGGCTCTGAATTGTTTCGTCGCGGCTGGCTTTGAGGTGGTGACGGTGTTGAAAATTCCCGTCCAAACAAATGATCAATCGGTCTCGGGTTGATTCAGGGTATTGATCGGGATTTGGTGGCTGTGGCCCAAAACACGCTGGACATGATAGACCGGCCAATTTTTCTTGTTCAGTGAGCTTGAGCGCCTGCATCACAAGCGAGTCGGTCATATCATTCAGTTTACGAAACATATCGACCGCCGCAGTAAATGGCTTTCGGAGGTCCCGTGCCTAACCAGTTAGTTAACAAATTGGTTAGTTTTGGTCAGTATTTGCCATCACCGTAGTTTTCCAGACTAAAGGAAGGAATACTTACATGCCTACTGTTCTTAGCAAACAGACGCTCAGACCTTGGCTCGAGCCATTGCCTGAGAGCTGATGTAAACGGAAGAGTGCCGACATGACAGTGATTCCACAAATCGTTGTGGAAGATCATGAGTCGCATGGAGAAAGCCGTTTGGGGTTGCATTGGGGATCCCGCGAGGTACCACTGCTGGAGAAGTCGGACAGCATCATGGGTGCACCCACAGAAGGCCATTTTTCGCCGGTGTTGCCCTGTTGAGAAGTACATATATCAATCATCAATCAGTGATATCAATCATCAATCAGTGAGTCATGTATAATACTACAAGGTACGGTGGACTATCACTCACCTACTATGTCAACCATATCAACTGTTCGCTTGGTAAGGGTGTGCGGGAGGCATCTGCAGTTGACAAACGATTTGGCAGCCTCTGCACCTGCCCAATTCTCTGTTCGAAGTTTCAATGCGATGTAAGTTGGATGGAGGGCTCGCATCACTGAGGCCATGTTGAAATTTCTGGCCTCTCGTCGATGTTGCTCTATCCTGGATTGAATGACTTCATCTATCGGATTTGTAATATCGGGAGCCAAAGTAACCCATTCAGCTTGGGTGTCTGCATCTACTTCGGCCGAGTCCGCCTGCTCCTGGTCTTCATTTGGTGGTATGTCGATGTTCATGTCGTCATACGGCTGCTGGAGAATGTCCTCTTGTTGGAATGCGGCCTGTTCCGATCTTTCAGCTTCGCCTCGTGTGGCTGCCCGTTGTCCAGCTCGCAACCGGGAGAGCATTTCAGTATATAGACCAGAATTGGCAGCTTGTCGAAGTTTGTCCGTGCGATTCCCGTTGATGGGAACATGAATTTTCTTCTTCGAGGGCGCCATGAGTATATCTTGCTGATTATCTTGCTGATAGGTGTATATTATACGGAAATGCCGGGATAAGAATTTCCATCCGGACGCCCGGGGGTCAGAACTCCCACCAAGCCGACTGGCTGGCCCACACCCCCAGCCCCCGGGGTGTACCCAACACTGAACAAGTGCAAAAATCACTTTTTGTGAAATGACTTTTTGCTATTGAGCTTGATTAATCCAAAAACAGCAGAATCGACCAAACAATGCTCAATTGAGAGCCAAAAATGAGATAAGAGAGGAAGGCCAACATAAAAATAAATAAATAAACTTTTTATTGGTGCTTGAAGTTGAATTGTGGGATTTTGGAATTATTTGATAGTAGGAGTGCTGGAGGGTGTTTTATTTTGATTTTATTTTCTTTTTTTGGGGGGGGGGGCAGGTATTTAAATAACCCAAATAATAGATGAATTAAGGTGAAGGGCATACTAACTTGAGGAGGATCCATGAAACAATCAACATTTATTGGTGCTTCCATGAGTCAAGCATGATTTTCCGTGAATCAAACAAGATTATTGATTGGTACTTGCATTATGGTAGGTAAAAATATTGGTTAGTAGAATTATGCTGGTAGTGAAATTTTGTTTTGGGGAATAACTGGCTACATTTTATTGGATTGAAAATCTCAATGATTTAGTCCTGTGCATCATTACACCTGGGTGGGTGTGTTGCAACATTGCAACATGTGTGCAGTTGTGCAAATATTCAGCACAAAAACACACATGTTTCAACACACCCACCCAGCTGTAATGAAGCACAGGAATAAAACAAGCAGTCTGTGTTTTTATTTGGGTTAATTGCAACACACCCAGGTATCTTCATGCACAGGATTAAAGCATGGGACAGGATTAATTAAAGCATGGGACTATGTTGTTTAACCCAGATCAAAACACATGATGCTTGCTTTAATCCTGTGAACCAAGACCACTTGGGTGGGTTGCAACATGTGTGTTGTTTTTAAGGATAAAAACAAAAACAAAAACAAAAACAAAAACAAATACTACTCCCGAACTTCTACTAACAAATAATTCCACCATACCATACTTCAACTTTAAGCACCAATACTTCTTGGTTGGATTTCCCCCAAAGTCTTTTATTATTATCATGGCCTTACTTGTTCAAACCCCAACTTGATAATAATAATAAATGTTGATGTTTGGTTATTGATATATCAAACAAAAAAGTTATTGATAATATTGATGTTCAGTTGTTGTTAACCTTAAGTTCATTATTTGGGGATGCTTGCTTTAATCCTGCAAATTGCAACAGTGTGTTGTTTTTTCAGATAAATATAAAAATCTAAAATAAAAATAAAAATAAAAATAAAAATAAAAATAAAAATAAAAATAAAAATAAAAATACACTCCTACTAACAAATAATTCCACCATACCATACTTCAACTTCAAGCACCAATACTTCTTGCTTGGATTTCCCCCAAAGTCTTTTATTATTATCATGGCCTTACTTGTTCAAACCCCAACTTGATAATAATAATAAATGTTGATGTTTGGTTATTGATATATCAAACAAAAAAGTTATTGATAATATTGATGTTCAGTTGTTCTTAACCTTAAGTTCATTATTTGGGGATGCTTGCTTTAATCCTGCAAATTGCAACAGTGTGTTGTTTTTTCAGATAAATATAAAAATCTAAAATAAAAATAAAAATAAAAATAAAAATAAAAATAAAAATAAAAATAAAAATAAAAATAAAAATAAAAATAAAAATACACTCCTACTAACAAATAATTCCACCATACCATACTTCAACTTCAAGCACCAATACTTCTTGCTTGGATTTCCCCCAAAGTCTTTTATTATTATCATGGCCTTACTTGTTCAAACCCCAACTTGATAATAATAATAAATGTTGATGTTTGGTTATTGATATATCAAACAAAAAAGTTATTGATAATATTGATGTTCAGTTGTTCTTAACCTTAAGTTCATTATTTGGGGGGTTGTTAACTTGATGTTCATTATTTGGGGGGGTAGGGCTGGCTGAAGAAGATTTCGGTTTGTGCATATGCTCTTTGCCCATTCATCTCACCGGTGTTCATGTTCCTGTTCTCATATATTCTTGGACAAGAACACACCCTAACCTTCCTCGCAACCTCAGCTTACGGTCCCTCAACTCACCTGACACCCTCGCTAGTTTCTAATCCACGCTTAAAATCCACGTCGCTCCGGTTCTTGTTCTCGTAGGGCCAGATATCTGGTATTTCTGTTGGTGAGTCCGTGAGTCAGATTTGTATCAAATTTGTATGTCATATCTAAATATCTCCATTTGAACTTATCTGATGTCTAGATTTCTCCCTTCAACCAACCCGTAAAAGACACACCCGTCGCCTGGTCACCCTATCTACATCCTTCAAACCGTAGGATTCGCGGCGCCGACCAAGGACAAAGAAGAACACATCCCTTTAAAACCGTAAACGGAAGTGAGCTCGGCCAGCCAGTCAGCATATCAAACCAAAACTTCTCTCGAATTCAACCCTTCTGAACCCTTCTGCCTTCACATATCCAACAAACTAACCATCAAGTCACCAATTTTGAAAACCATACCAACTCTTTATCATATCACACATACTCACCATATCCGAGAGAATTCAGCCGCGGCAATGACGCCAGTCAGCTAGATTTCCCATAAGTAAGTGTGATGTTTCAGCAGAAGAATACGATCCTTCACCCAAAGTACTTAAGAGCCCATGCTGATCGTTATCCTGATCACTTCCCTCAAAAACATCCACCTCTATCTGCCCCTGTAATTATAACTATCCTCTACTGCAACAATATGGCGCCAGGTTTTCCTAGGCGAAAGCTTCCTACAACTACTACTTTGCGTACTTCATACCTCCACAACGTTGTCAACAATCGCCGCACATCTCGTGCTCAGAGGGACATTGAATCTTTACTCCAACAGCCTTCAACCAACAGGCCTACCTCTGCCGCATCTGCCCCAGCCAGACAGAAACCATCCTCACCTGAGAAATCTCCCGCTTCAACCCAGCCAAAACCGACCCCCTCAGGGTCTCGTTGGAATCTCAGTGAAGACCTTCCACTACCCCCATCTCCTTCCCCCCCAACTCCCAAAGGCCCTCCAACCCGACCGATGCCGTTCCCCCCTGCTTCAGGAGCCCCAGGGCCTCCAATGACGGGTGATCCATTTGGTTATTTGCTGCCCTACCATCCAGTGAATGAATTGGCGCAGCAAACCACCAACTACCTCTTATCAGATTTCCCAGACTCAGGGGACTACATCCAGCCCGGTATCCACCAACCCCAACACCATCCGCAACAAACTCAACATCATCGGCAACACCATCTGCAACAAACTCAACACCATCCGCAACAACCTCAACACCAGACACAACAAGCTCAACACCATCCGCAACAACCTCAACACCATACACAACGAGCTCAACACCATCTGCAACAAACTCAACACCATCCGCAACAAACTCAACACCATCCGCAACAAACTCAACATCATCGGCAACACCATCCGCAACAAACTCAACACCATCCGCAACAACCTCAACACCAGACACAACAAGCTCGGTCCTCCCACGACCCCCACCACATCTCACCCATTTACAGTGATGCCCCTCCTACCGGCAGAACACCAGCCCAATACCTCCCCCCACGCCAAATATCAAGCCGCGAGTCCAATCAACACCCACCCCCACCCAGTCAAAAATTAGCAGCAAGTCAACAAACCCCAGCTACGCAGGTTCAAGCCAAGCCCCTGCCCAGTTGGGAAGAACTCACCACTGACGCCGAAGCCACTCTTGCGAATCAAAAGGACGCCGGTAAGACTCGGGGCACCAGCTCTCGTGGACGTGGCGTACGTGGTGGTGGGGCGCCAAGGGCCCGTGCATCCAAGCGAACCAGTGTTCCATCGGGTGTCACCCCAGCTTCCGGACCGGCGGCATCTGCGACTGCCACACCTGTTGGGGCGGCATCTGCAACTGCCACACCTGTTGGCACCTCCCCCCCACCAACTAACTTACCAGCCCCCTCATCGGCTGTTCCTCGGTACGCTGGCAGCCCGGACTTCTCTTTGAAAACGGCTGCACCACCCGCTTCAAGGAGGCCTTTGGAGGATGATGTCGTAAAAGAATACGACAACGAATCTCTAGACGAACTTCGCCGCATCGCCCGCCAGTTTTCCCGCTACTATTGCTTAACAGCCGAACAAAAAGTAGAACTAGACGGAATCTATGATCGCTATCAGAGGGATGTTCACAAGATGGCCATCAAGCACCAGTTGGATCCTGCGGTTTCATTGTCATATCTTGGAAACAAAACACGAATTCGGGGTCCCACCAATTACAACAACTTTTGCGTGTATGATCCGCAAGCGAGTCCCATTCATCATGACTGTATGTCCTTCTTTTTTCCACGTATCTAGGCAAGGGTCAGGTCCATTGACTCCTACAATCATTGTATTCTCTCAATCAGATTCCAAGACGTCGGACGAACGAGCTAAATTGACTGCAGCTCTTTGGAATCAGTTGGACAAGGAAGCAAAAGCTAAATTCCGAGATCCCGCCTTCCTTGAGACGCTTCCAAACCCATACATAAATATTCGGAAGGCTGCGGAGGCTTGCGTTGGTGGTGATGGTACAAATCCCGATGAAGAGGCGAGTGAACGATCGAAGGCAAGAAAGCAATATGCTAACATGAAACCCGAACGATGGGCGCAAAAAACAATGCTAGACGTAAGTTTTTTTATGTTTGCAACTACCTTAGCTCATGTCATAAGTTGACTTGTTTGTTTGATTCATTAGTTGAAGAGGATTGCCGAAGCCTATCAAGTCGAAGGCTTCATGGTCTTTGTCTGTCGCCACAGGAAACAAACGGCCATCACGGCCGGTGGAAGCTACCTTGGTCAACAATATCTCGATATCACCGAAGACAACAAAGATGTGATCGGTCCGGCGCAGGACTTTGCCGATTTTGTCAACGGTTCTAAAGTCATCAAGAAACACACGGGGCTGGATCCACTGCCTGTTAAAAACCCAAGAAAACAAAAATTCGGCAGAAAGGTCTTGGCCGATGGGAAATACGATAAGGGTAAGCACTCAAATTCTCGTTGGTTGTTGTTGTAATATCGACTGATTACTTGACTTTGCTGACAGGGAGCAAGGAACTGAACCTGGTTGATGTCAGGGAGAAGTTGAGAAAAGCCTTGAGTAAGTTATGATTGCACAATCAATCAAACCAACTGATCATGGCAGATTGCTGAGCTGTGTTTTGATTGAGCAGGTGCGGCTACAGGTGGCCGCTACAATAAAGGATGGCCTGGTAAGACCAAGGCAAAGCTCCAAGAGCTAGGGGTGAAGATGGAGGTTCAGAAAAACGACCTGAATGTCACGCCCGAGTCCTTCTGTGGATCGCTGGCCCCAAAGTGGGATATCGATTTGCAACACCTCCAAGTGGCCATTGGCAAGGGTTGGTTTAGGTTGAACAGTTCAAAGAAAAATGGAGAAAATGTCGAGCTCGGCAGTACAAACGAAGGGGATGAAGACGATGAAACAAGCGGTAATGGTGTGTCTACCAACAGCAATATCACCGGCGGGGCCGCCAATCGCAAAAAAGCCGTCGGACTTGCAAAAATAAAAACCATCCCAAGAAGATCGTACAAGTCTTCCAACAAGAAACACACCCCTGGAAAACCGACCAGTTCCCGCAAGTCCAAAGCAGCCAGCAAGTTGAACCCAAAGCACCGGAAACCTTGCAAAAACACCGAGCCGGTTTCCGCAAAGAAAATGACCAAAGCAACCGACGCGAGGGGCATTAAACGTGGCCGTGATGACCATTCCACTGGTAGGAAGGCCAAAAGGTCTCGAACTGCCACTACGATTGTGGAAGACGACGACGAGGAGGAGGAAGAAGAAGAAACCAGCGAGGAAGAAGACGACGAAGAGTATAGCGAGGAAGAGGAAGAAGAAAATGAAGAAAATGAGGAAGAAGACGATGAAGACGATGATGACGATGATAGCGACGACAGGGAGTAGCGAGTGATTCTCTTACCTCATATTGTCCTTCTTCTTAGTGTTTTATGCCCAAATCTTGTACTATTACTACTTGGTTCTCATTCCTATATTCAATTGGTTCTGTTGGTCTGCTATCTCTCAGCGATTTGTATTTGTATTCTTACTCGCGGTTCTCAGTCATATATTCAATTGGTTCTGTTTGTCTGCTATCTCTCAGCGACTTGCACATACTCAGCACTCACTTGTTTCTTACTCGTCACTCATATCTTGTACATAGTCTCACTCGCCTTTGAATATTAGGTTGATTTGAAAAATATATATTGACTGGTTATCACACATGAGTTCCTTCCCTGGTTGCTTGAGCTTGGTTGCTTGAGCTCTATTGCAATGATGCTCACCAAGTAAACGAAGATACAACAGCTGAATAGTAACAACATAATCAATACATAACAAATCGACACCTGAGTAGTAACGGAAAAGTCAATGGGGGGTGGAGTTGCGATGGAATGAAAGATAAAGATGTGAAGGGTGGAAAGTGGTGATGAGGTGTTATGAGGTGTGAGGTGAGTCGGCGATCGTAGCGAGCCGGAGCGCCTCGGGAGATGTGCCGGCAAGATGCTCCCGGCGGAGTGAGGCTCGGTCTGAGGGAGTATGGTTTAGGTGCCATATGCATAGTTGTGATATATTTATTGAGGTGTGATGTTCCATAGAGAGGATGTGATACGGGTGGGTGATGTAACATAACGGGGGAGGGGGGGGGTCGAAAGTAGGGACTTGGTGAAAGATCAGGGGCCCTCAGGGGGGGAAGCTTGGAGGAGGGGACTTAGTCGAAAAATCTGGCCTCCGGAAGCCAGATATTGGTGACATCCCAAATATTCCAAGTATCGTACTATTGTAGGCGCGATGACATGGTCGGCCGACCATAATCATACCCTACTTTCCGCCTGTTCAGTATATGCAGGTGGTGTGACCACAGGTGGGGATCGGTCAAAAACAGAACATGGAAAGCAGGATGTTGTAACAAGGAAGACTGACTGATGGTAAAATGCCCCACAAAGAATCTCCATATAACTGGCTAATCTCAAGCAGTCCATCTTCAAGGTTACATATCATCTTCAAGGCGCAGGAGTGCCTTTGGCTCCAGACCTGGCAGCTGTGAGCCTGTGGCATACTTCCAACCATGAAATGGGGCAAGGTGGGCATTCACCCCATTTCTTCTAGAGGTGGGCCTGGCTCTTAATAGACTACTCAGATAGCTTACCAAGAGGTACTACACCTGATGGCCAGCTCCAGGCCAAAGAGTATGTTGTGCAACTTTTGATCTGTTTAAGCCCCCTTGATGAGGTTCTGGTTAGGCTGGAGCCACAATCCCACTGTCTTGTGAGACAGAAAGGATGTCTCCTCTTCTTGATGGAGTTAGAGAACATTCAAGGCTTAATAAGGCCTCTAAAGGTTCCCAATACATGCCAACAGCCTAGTGTTGATGCTTCTAGCATACAATCTCTGTGGCTCTACTTTCAAAACTTTACTGGACAAAATTTCTTTCTTCCAGCTTTGAACCTTTGAAGTCCTCCATGGCCAGTGGAGGACTTCCTGTCGACCAGATGGCTTAATTTAGACGGACCGGCTAAACTTTGTTTGCTGGTGAAATCTTGAGGTCGAACAATTTTCATCAGCCAACAAGGTTTAGCCAGTCCTTGTAAATTTACAAATTTAGACGACGGGAAGTCCTCCAGTGTAGGATGTTGCTCTAGAAATTATGCATGTTTTTTTTAGTTGGCCAGTTAGACCAGTAAAAGTAAATTATCACTAGTTGACAGGTGACATCAGGCCAAGTCCAGCCTGCTACCCATCATCTCCCCCCTTGTGAGTGCTTGCAACCCCCCTGGAGAGAACAAAGGGGCCATTGCAGTCCACTTGTAGTGCAACAGAAGTTGGAACAGAGCTATGACCATTGTTGCTCAATGTCACCTGTCAATAATTGGCTACTGTTTTTTCTGGTGAATTATAGTATAATGTTACATGGTGATTTATATTGCACTAGTATCATATTGACTCAAAGGATTTCTCCTCATTTCATTTTGTATACATTGAAGGATGTGGATCAGGAGTTTGCAAAATTCTATGAGCTGTTCTATCAGCTGCATGTTAATCATCCTTTAGTCCTTGATGCAGGTGTAAATTCTTGAATCATCTAAATTCTAGTTTCACAATTTTCTGGGTTCACGTCAAGAATGTAGGAGTGTCACACCAATATAAATTTTACAGATTGTTCACTAGATCATTCATGTGGAATAGAAAGTGAAATAATAAATATTAGGATTACCATAACCAACAAGGTCCCATTTTACAATGACATTCTTTTATAGAATTGTGAAGTGAATGAAAAACATTGATCCAACCTCCATGAAAATCTATGGTAAGAGTATTGGCCAGTTAAATGAACTTCCCAAACCGTGAAAATAATTATCTTGTTATAAGGTGAGGTCAGGCTTGAGTGTAAATTGCAATTTTATTATTGAAAAACAGAAAAATCAGGATCACAAATTAATCAAGTCCCTTGATCAACATTTCAAATCAATGTTGTAAAATAGAACTTTTAATGGATGTCATATTCAAACAAAAAGCATTTGGGATCTTGCTTAATCAAGTTGGTTCTAGGGATCCGGGTTAGATAGGAAAGCACACATCAAGCATGTTACCCATAATCTAGTCCATGTGGCACTGCCGCAACTTGCCAAGTTTTGAAGAAAGTTAAGAATTTCATGGTTTTAGAAAAGTAAAAGGTGTACATTACAATGATTCGTGTATGAAGGCCAATCACCCTCAAAAGCTTGGAATGGTGCCCAAAATGACTGTCTCACAATGAAGCTTCTCCAGAGAGATTGAGACAGTCTCGGAAGGAAGATAGAAGTCTTAATATAAGCCCTTACCAAATTAACCGAGTCCTTCCTTCCTGAGGCCTCCTGAGGCTCTCCCGGTGGGACTTAAATAGGACTTATTTCCGTCTTATCAAGACTTCTAGACAGGAGGTGTCTAGCCGTGATCGTCACTATCGTCATTTATGATATTCTCCTTCTCCCAAGAATTTAAAAAAAGGATAAACAAGAAACTTATGTAACCAAAAAAACTATGTCTCAGATACAAACGAGGGCGCAGTGGATTGTGGGTTCCCACAATAATAGCATCCCACCAAGAACTTAGACGACGATACAATTAACAATACCCATCTTTTTGATCCTCTGCCACGGGAAAAAATTGGGATTCAACTTTTTTCAAGTGTATAAATATTTTTGGCATTCACACTTGAATCTACATGCGCAATATACCCGCCCGAGACTCCGAGAGCACATGTAACTGGAAAGTGATTGATTATAGCCAAACAGAACTAAATCTGGATAAAGTGTGACACTCAAAGTAAAAGGGAAAAAATGAGCCAAGAAAGGAAGAAACAAAAATGAAAAGAAGCAAAGGTATACAAAAAAATTAACCAGGGAAAGAAAGCTTTTTTTGAAACTGCAACACAAAGCCATTGATTGTGTCTTCCAATGCATATGTCGTATGGCATTGGTTTTGCCGTTGCAGGATTCCTTCCCGCTTCCGTGATGAATACATGGTTGGCACCTGCTATCACAAGGTCTGATTATTTGACCTGAGCTTTGTTAACCGGAGGGTTACACCTCCCCGCAATATGACCACCGATCGGTCTATCATCAGTCACTTTTTTGGATCGATCTACAGGGTCTTGGCCAACAACTTTGGGCACATCGTGAGGCCGGGATTTAAACAGTGGCTTTCTGGAGCTGGATTGATCACGGTCAGTGTCGGAACTCGTAGGGGCCTCTTCATCGGTGACCCCAACACAATGACGTTGTGTCCTTGAAAAACGGGGAGGTCTTGATAAGTGTTGATGTGGATGAATACGTATCTCAACACCAAGAAAACTATACATCACACGGGTCACTTGTTTGCATTTGATTGGTTTGCAGCGCCTGAATACCTCATGTAGCGCCAACACTTGAATTTTTCTGTTGTGATGGGAACCTAGTCGGATGTTTATATAGCCAGCCTCTATCTATCCAGTTTCTCTTCATCAACATCCACAAAAGAAAAGAATGACCCCTTCACTAGAGGGAAATGTATCACTGGAATCCAAAATTACTGATGACGACACTCCTTCGTGCAACGGTCGAACGACTCTCCAAACGCGTCATGTTTACATGATGGCCATTGGTGGTTTGTTTCTGATCACAATTAATTGATCTCGAATCCATGCAGATTTAAATCTGATTAGAACAGAAAATTATCCTCTTCTATTCACCTGCAATAGGCACCATCGGCACCGGTTTGTTCTCGGGATCGGGAGAAGCACTGAGAAATGGAGGCCCAGTCGGCCTTCTTCTTGGGCACCTTGTTGTTGGTTAGCCAAGTTGGCATTCTCAATTGAATCTCAATCCTCCTGTTTTGACTAACTTCCTCCAACAATTATTGCTCACCAGGTGTGGTTGTCTATAGCATGATAGTCGCTCTGGTGCGACGCGTTCTGCTAAATTCTCAGGGTTCATCATCATGAAAATACTTGACTAATTCAACTACCCAAAAACGTTTGCTTGCAATCGAAATCTCAGGGTGAAATGGTGACAGTGTTCCCAGTAGGTGGTTCCGCTCCAAAACTACCGTCCCCCGTGTTTAATTTTCCAAATCTTGTATATTGATAATCTTGTTTGATACGCCTTGGAACCTCTCTCTTGAACGACAGGTTCCTGAGGACAAAGCTTTGATACACTACCCCGCCCGCTTTGTTGATCCAGCGTTGGCCTTCGCATGTACGCTTCTTCCACCCTAATGTTTCACTCCTCCACTAGTGCTCTATCGTATTTAAAATATCAGGACAGCTATGGTGACAAAAGCTCGTCATTATCATGAATGTCTTTTTGTTTTTATTTATCACCCTGCATGATCAAAATAGTTGGCTGGAACTATTGGTACGTATCTCGGAGTTTCTGTTAATTCAACATTCTATAGTACCAATAGTTTTATTTTGAAACTATTCCAGGTACTCATTTGCGATCACTTTGACAACTGAGATCACTGCTGCGGGTATCATGGTAGGCAACTAGTTCCTATCAAACCCCGATTCCCAAACAGCCCACAAACATTAGTTGATATATGTATCTTTTTATTTGCAGAGTACCCAATTGATAAACCAAAATTGTATGGGCTTGTGGATTTCAGCCGTCAGTTTCTTATTGAATATCACATTATACAAAAATTCAATTTTGATATTTAATGAGTCCAATTTTCTTTTTCGGTTTTGGGGGATTCAAAAATTTTAGGTTTTAGTCCCCGCTACAGCTATTAACTTCTTCAGAAGAAGGTGGTTTGGCGAAGTGAGGTTCCTCCAAGTCAACCCTCTCAAAGACAAACAAAAGCCTTATATGAATTTAACAATGTTCTTTTTTTCTAATCTCGTCCGCCCGGAAGGTGGAGTTTATTTTTGGTAGGTAACTTTTGATGGATCTTGAGTATTTCGGATCTTGAATATTGATCCCCTTGAGGTGTGTTCAAACCAGCTGCTATAAAGCTTCTTACTATGGTAGCATCAATTGTCTTTGGTATTATTTTTCTTTTGGGTAAGCTTCATACGTATATCTATATTGTCAGTCCAGATTTCAACCTTTAAATTTTGTTAATTTATCCAGGTGGTCGTCCAGATCATGATCGAATCGGCTTTAGGTATACCAGTTCTGCCATCCAGCTGTATTCACATACATGCCAAGCTCAGGTCGATTTATCCCTTTTGTTATTATACCCTCATCACAGATACTGGATTTCACCTGGTCCCTTCAATCAATTTAATGAGATCCCTGGCTTCATTGGTCGATTTCTGGCCTTCTGGTCGGTATTGAGTCAAGCCGCTTTTACTCATCAAGGTAGAGGAATTTTGAATAATAAAATCAGATAAATGAATGTTTATCGAAGCTAATCAGGTGAAAAAACATTTAAGGTACCGAGATCGTAGCTTTGGCCGCATTAGAAACTGAAAATCCCAGGAAGAGTATCCCCATAGCTATCAAGACAGTTCTTTATCGTATCTTGATATTTTATCTTGGTGGGATGACTGTCGTTGGATTATTAGTTCCCTATACTTCATCTTCCTTAGGGACTGGTGCTCGTAGTGGAGCTTTATCACCATTTGTTATTGCATTTAACTCAGTACATATCCCAACATTATCAATGGGTGTGTCTATAATTGCAGTCATGATAATTTCAGTATTCCCGGTGGTAAATTCACACATCTGTAAGTGTTTTTTTTGTGGACATGTGACTAAAACATTCAGAATCGCTATGGAATAACATCTTTTCCTTTATCCCAATCTGCTCTGTAACTCTTATCCACAGACGCTGGTTCAAAAATTTTGCATGGTCTATCTTCTGACGATCTTGCGCCACTGTTATTCTCGCGGGCACCCAAGTGGTTCTCACGCTATACAAGCAATGGTGACCAGGTCGCTGGTATAGCCATCACGGCTGTGTTTGGACTACTGGCCTATACGAGTGTTGCTGTTGGTATCTCTCAAGCAGACACGGTGTATGAACGGTTTTCAAAGATGTCATCCATCTCGGTTCTTATGACGTGGTGGTCCATCCTACTTGTTAGTCTTTTATTTTTTAAGAAGTCTGCCGTACCATACTAATCATTCGGTACATTTTCCCGAAGACCTATATCCAATTTTATCACGGAGTGTCAAGAAAAGTCGGAATAGATCGTGGCATGTTTGCATATCAAGCACCTTTTCAACCATGGCTATCCTACTTTGGATTCTCAATGACTACTTTGATTATCATCTTTAATGGTTTTGAGGTCTTTTTAAGTCACAACTGGTAAGCAGGTTAGATTCATATCATTTGGAAGACGTGTCACTCCTCTTCAGCATCATCCCCTCTGATGAACCATTCTTGGAAAAATCCACTCTCTATCTTCAGGTCAACTTCCAAATTCATATCGGCATACATTTCCCTTTTGATATTCCCCCTGGGTTTTATCTGGAGTAAGATATCTCGAAAAACAAGTTTTGTAAAGCTCGATCAGATGAAGTTGGAGGAAGGTAGGAGTGAATTGAACCCACTTGACGTGATGGAGGGGGAGAATGACGTTAACTCAGTTGGCAAATTCCACAAATTCTTGCATTGGGTTTGTCTGATTCCTTATTCATTTTGTCCCAAAAAACATCAAGACTGACCTGCTCTCTCCCGTAGGTAAGAAAATGGTATATGTCTGGTTGGTCAAAAACTGGCTCCAATAGCAGCAATGAGCTTAATCAGTCACAGAAAATCACTGCATTACCTTAATTTGACCTCCACCAGATCCTCAAGTTCATCTCCGTCACAAGATGAATTCTCCCCAATTTTAAACTCCAACAAGAGGCTAGTTTACTACCCATCATTTTTTGCATACTCTGATCTCTCTGCTGTAATACATGGGCATAATGGGAACACCTGCAACATCAAACTTTTTGTTATTCATTTATTTTTTAATTTATATATCATCTTGTTACCTTGTACCAAAAAAGGGGACAAGCTGATACATATTAGGCAATATGGCCAAGTCAGAAGAGCATTTAAGAGGAGGAGAGCTGATTTGCAAAGAAAAGGAGGACAAACCCAAGAGAGAGCGAAAAAAACAAGAAAAAAAAGACATCAAAAGTCAAGAACAAGAACATAAACATCCAATCAATAATACCACTGATAATTGGCTTTGACAAGATAATGAAGGATGAGATTCTGTTATTGGCATACAAAAGTATCAATGAAGTTATGGATGCAAGCAACCATGAGCAGCTGATTCAAGACTTTGTTGCCTGGTTAGTGTTGGGCTTACAAATCCACCAGCAAGAGGGGGACCCAATCTGTTGGGAGATGGTGGCTTGTACATGTTGCTCCAAGCTTGGAAAGCATCTTGGTTGCATCCTGGTTGTTGAAGATAGGCAACTGGTAGTAACAGGACAGTGTGATTTGTCTAGGATCTGGTCACCTTTCCAAAGAAACAGCTTATCCAGACAGTTTACCAGCCTGCTTGGGAATGGTTATGGACCCACTAGGGTGGTTCATGATTGGCATTTCTCATGAAAATTTTTTATCCCAAACCAGAAGCCTCATCACCTACTTTAAAGCATAAAAACATTCTTCTCCAAGCCACTTCCAATATCCAAGCAATGAGTCATTTTTTTATCAAAACAAGCATTAAAAAGCTCAATCATGAACCCTGCTGTAAGACTCAAAAATTGATGGTAAGATCCCTTTTGCTGAATGGAGAAAGGGATGAATGAGCTGTAAACTCTGCCTTTCTATATTATCAGCACTAAAAAAAGTATGACATTGCATGTCATATGCAATGTCACCTTGCATTTGCAAAATGTGATCAAATTTGTAGTGCCAAAGATTTGATTGTATTTTGCAAATGCAAGGTGACATTAATGCATGTGACATGCAATGTTACCGCTGTGGTATTCCCATACACCACAGGTTGATATTTTTTGTTTGACCACTTCAACCCCACAGGGGAATGAAATTAGAGTCCGTGCAGGTTAGTGATGACCTGTGCCTTGCACTTGAGACAGCAGGTGAGCTGACGGCAAATCTTGGTCTTCCCTATGATGGCATTCCCTGTATGACTCAAGGGTCAATTCAACTCAGCCAACAAGCCTGGTGTTGACAGTGTTATGACCCCTGAGTCATACAGGGAGGGACAGCTCCCTTTCAGCCAACAAGCTTGTGCGCTCGCAAGCAAGCCAAGAATGGCAAACCCAGATGATGATGGCGACATGACCACATCAGTCAACGGCCAACTTGTTTGACAAGGGGTCAGCTCAACCAATAGGTTGACAAAAAAACCCAATTTTAAAATTGGTTTTGTGGTCTCTGAATGATCAAAAAGAGGCTACACATGTTCAAAATTTTGAAAAAAAAAACTTCAACGGAAAAGATTTCCAAAGAAATTGTAAGGAAATTGTGGAACTTCATCCAAGAGAAGTGGATTGAGAAATGTGTATTGGTGAAGTAGTTAGTGTGTGTCTTGGTACTTAATTCCACCCACCCATCCACAGCGCCCCTCCAAGGCTATCCCAAAAAGCCCACAAGGAAGTCAATGGGGCTGCAGTTACAGAAATGGTGCGGGCCCAAAAAGGTGGTCAGGGGCAGTTGAACCTGGATGGAAGCCGACCAATGCCAAACACCTAGCAGCATGCTAGACCATTTGTCCAAGGCAACTTGGATCAGATTGCCTCTTTCCAAGACCAGATCAACTTGCAGTTGCAAACAAAAAAATGTTGAAGTTTTTTTAAGGGCCTTAATAAAAAAAAACCAGTTTTTCTGTGTTCTGACCGGGTTTCTGCTGCGCGCAGAAGACGCAGTTTCCGTGTTTAAACGTGGTTTTTTAATTGATTCTTTTTGCTATTAATTTTAAGTTTTTTTGATTTTTTAAAGTTGTACCCTACACTTTAAAAGGTTGAGAATTTAATGGTAAAAACCATTTTCCATAAAAATTAATTTTGATTATTAATTATTATTTTTTTTGGGCGTTATAAAAAGGGCCTTAATAAAAAAACCCGCATTTTCCGCGTTTTGACGCGCTTTTGCTGCGGCACAGCACACGCGCATTCCGCTTTTAAACCCGCATTTTTAATTAATTTTTTTTTGCCATTAATTTCGAGTTTTTTTGATTTTTTAAAATTTGTTCCTACACTTTGAAGGGTGTAGAATTTAATGGTAAAGTCCATTTACCATAAAAATGACTTTGATTTTTTTTTTTTTTCTGCTTACTCATTTTTTCAATTAATTGTTTGCATGCATGTATGTACCTTATTTTTTATGCTTTTTTGAAATTTTAAAATTATTTCCTAGGTTTTAATGTGTGTAGAATTTAATGGTGCAATCCAATTTTTTTTAAAATCAACGGTTCATTTTTAGGGCCTTAATAAAAAAACCCGCATTTTCCGCGTTTTGACGCGGTTTCTGCTGCGCGCAGCACACGCGCATTCCGCTTTTAAACCCGCTTTTTTAATTAATTTTTTACCGCTTATTTTTTGAGTTTTTTTGAATTTTTAAAATTGTTTCCTAGGTTTCAAAGCGCATAGAATTTAATGGTAAAAACCATTTTCAATAAAAATGAATTTTGATTATTAATTATTTTTTTTCACTCATTTCTCAATTAATTGTTTGCAAACATGTTTGTACCTTATTTTTTATGCTTTTTTGAAATTTTAAAATTATTTCCTAGGTTTTGATGTGCGTAGAATTTAATGGTGCAATCCAATTTTTTTAAAACTCTACGGTTCATTTTTAATACTGAAATTAGCCCCATTTTTTGACTTAATTTTTTACAGCTTAATTTTCATTATTTTTTGACATTTTAAATTTATTTCCTACACTTTAAGACATGTAGAAAATTATGGTAACAACCATTTTTCCCCAAGTTGAAAACTATACCTTGAATGCTGCATTTGACACGTTTTTTTTAATTAATTCATCACTTTTTCACCTGATTGTTTGCATACATGTGTGTACCTTATTTTTTATGATTTTTTGAAGTTTTAAAGTTGCTTCCTACATTTGAAAGTGTGTAGAATTTAATGGTAACATCCAATTTTCTTAAAACTCAACGGTTCATCCTGAATAATGTAATTGGTCATATTTTTCAATTGATTTTTAAGAGCTTAATTTTCATTATTTTTTGGCATTTTAAATTTGTTTCCCCCACTTTTAGACATGATTAAAATGATGGTAACTATCATTTTTCATAAAAACCAAAGAATGTTATTGAATACTGTGTTGGACATGTTTTTTTTATGTTTTTTTAAATAATTTTTACCGGCTTAATTTTGATCATTTTTTGAAATTTCAAATTCATTTCCTCCATTTAAAAATCTGTAAAATTGAATGGTGAAGTCCAATTTCCCTACAAATACAAGCTTCAATCTTAATACATGAGTGTACCCCGTTTCTTGCACAATTTGTAACGTATACACATTTTATTTGAATGAAAAATGGATACAGCCAAAAATTTTGAAACCTTTAAAAGTGTAGGAAATGAGCTGGAAATTCCAAAAAATAAGCATAATTAAGCATGTAAGAATTAATTAAAAAAACCCGTCAAAGGCATTATTCAAGATACAGTTTTTATTTTGATGCAAAGTGATTGTTACCATCATTTTCAACATGTCTTAAAGTGTAGGAAAAAAATTTAAAATGTCAAAAAATCCAAGTATATTAAATTCTGTGATTTGTACAAAAAAAATTCAATAGTTTCCCCTCAACAAAACATTCGGGGAAAAGTTTGAGGTTCCTCTAAAGGAAAATCTCATCCCAAACTTCATCTTAAAGTCTTCACCAACACAACTTAGCCCCCCAACCCCAGCATAGCCAGAGCACTTGGGCTCAGTGTCCAGCCCATGTCAAAGCATGGGTCAAAAACACTGGACATGGAAGCCCCCAGCCGCATCAAATGAAGCAACCAAGTGGGGGGCTAACGCGTTAACTCCCAAACTGTACAAGTGTAACAGCGGGGAGCGGAAGTAAAAGTTTCGTGCTGAAAGGGGGGTCATCCCATGTTAAACAACCCGACCTTTTATCCTAACTGCCCCTCAACTAACTTTACCTACCGCAACAAAATGAACCACCACTCCTCCAGAAATACAAGGCCCTTAACCCCTTCATCTAGTTGTTCCCAACACAACCTAATCTCCGAAACGGATTTCGTCCCTTCACTTCTACCTTCACGCAACATCAACCACAGGCGAAGCATCCACCCTCGACACGGCAGATACAACGGGCTAATAAGTATGGCACGGCGCCACTAACCACGACCTGTAAGCTCACCCCAGGCTAGACATCAATCTGTTATGTTCATATGGTCATTGATTCCTTTCGGTCCGCAACATGTCGTTTACGACTAGAGAACTTCATCTGTCCCGTTACACACATCCGCCAAGGAAACAACCCCATTGAAAAGGCAATCAAATTAGGAACTGAAGACTTATACATCTCGCGCACCTCAGGCCGAGCGACCTCACCTCGCATTAACGTGGCAACTGTCCTAACCCTTCCTAACCCTTGACCACCCAGACCAATCATCAACGCCACGACAGCCACACATCAAAGCGTTACCCTCAATGGTAAACCCACTCAATCACCAGGTGGTATCACAACTCGACCTACTCTTCACCTACAACACAGCTATTTAAGTGGTACAAGACTTCACCCTCGAATCGAGCTATTCCTCCATCACACAATCAACTCACAACCTCACCAACATCCATCTACTCACCTTTAAACTCCCACTCCCACCAAATCCAACTAGCACCTCACACGTCAGTCATCCCCAAGTAACTCGAGCCAATAAAGCGTGCAACTTGACATTATTAACACATATTTTTCTCCACCCTCAGCTCTACAACAATATGTCTGCTGTTCGTGCACCCAACCACCCGGCCACCTTGAACGGCCACTTCCAACCAATAACTGATGTGAGTCCCCAATTAGTTTGCCCTTCGTTCTTTTACTGAGCTCTCCTCCTTAGTCCATCGCCGATTCGGTACGCGCAAACCAGTACGGTTATGTCAAAACTCCCAGCTTTTTCCAATGCGGTGGATTCAACTACGAAAAGAATGAAGACTTTGAAGTTGAACTGGTTACGAACACAGCACTCAACAACACGCTAATGGCCGATTCGATCTATGCTCTAAGTGGTAAACTCATTGCCCTCAATGACGGCTCACCCCCAATCCTATCTTACTTCCAGGATACCGTCATTCGTATTGGTGCAACAGGTCCAGACCAACCTGACTTTACAAACAAATCCACCGTCACAAGCCTGGGATTGGTCATATCACGGCGGGAGGTTGCAAGCAATGTTTCCGACTCTGGTAGTCATTTGGAAGTCATTGTTGCTCATTGTGACTGGGACGGCCAAGTGAGATTCCAATTCACTACACCTTCTTTGCAAGAAGACTGACAGTTGACCGAAATCAGGAGCGAGTTCATCGACGCTTCAATATCAAGTACATCGTTCCCGGTACTAAGAACTTGGTCAAGACGCACACCTTATACCAAGTCGGCCGCGAAATCTCCATCATCGGACGATTGGTCGACTTTCACATGGAGGACCACATGGCCGTCGTAGTTGTAAGATCCCATAACACCAGTTATCTTCCATAATTCTAATCTGCAGTTACCCTCTCACTAGGTGTCATCGGTTTCCGTCACGTCAGGCCACCAAGTCGGCCGTACCAACTCCAATAGTCCATCCACATCCAATTCATCCCCAATTTTAGGGAGAAAATTGTGTGTGATACATGTTCATTCACAGGCACAAGTTCCTTAGCTGATACCTCCCATCTCATCAAGGACCAAATTCTCACCGAAAACCAATACTCCAACAAGTGGACCCTCAACCTCCCGTCCTACCAAACCAACATTACCCGCTCCACCTATCCCAATGAGTATGAAGCGTGGCCAGACACCCGACCAATTGACAAAAGGCAAGTCCAAAGCACAGTCTGACATTGAGAGTGGCCCTGAGGAGCTGTCAGACAGTGATGGATCAGAACCGAGTGAAAACGATGCTCAACCTCATTTACCATCGCAAGCTAAACGTGGCCGCCCACGCAAAAATATCATCAAGGAAGCCGCAAAACGGATGAGGAAAAATTAATACTCCATCCTCCCTGACTGTCGAGTCTCAACTTCATTCGTGTCTTGACGACATAAAAATTACACTCTCTTCATTTCTCGCTATAAACAGCCATTTCATCTTTAACACTCACTGCCCCAGAATTAACCTAAATTGTCGACCACAAACACCAAGAACCATTGAGAAATTGTTATTGTAGTTGTGTCTGATGTTTTTCTGGGCATTCCACTTTTAATCTTGTGTCTCCAGTCAGAGAAATAAAAAGCCAGGCTACTAAAATCCAATTGCAACTCCTTGTCAATGAGCTCAAACCTTTAATATACTGAGATCTTACCCAACTGAATGAGGGTTGGCGTGACAAGAATTGGATGCTTATCCGGTTGGAAGCTGATAGCCCATGTCAGTCGATGGGGAACAAAATTAACCGAACTTTACTTTATGCATAACCCACATTCAATACGAGAGTAGGTGACTGTTGCCGCTTCAAATTACTCACTTCCACATTTGCAGACCAACCCGATGCCACCTCATAGATCTTTCGATGCCCCAATTCATCACTGAATAAGCTGTCATATGAGCTCAGGTCCTATTTTGGCTTCACCCTCCGTTTATCAACATTCGGTTTACGCCGACAACTTGATTTCTATTTCGAATCTTACAAAAAGGCTTCGCACCATCAAACTTCACAACGATCCACCGACTCACCACCTCCACACCGTCGACAATACAACGTTCCCGGGAATCATCAACCCTTCCGCTGATAGTCAACTTCGACACAATCGATCTCACTGTTTCCCCGTTTCCCAATCAGATCCGCTCAATATATTCGCTGACGCTTAAGAAAATAACTCGTAAACGATCAGTTCGGGTTCGAGCAATTATCAAACTCGTCAGGCAAGTTTATCAAACGACTTATTGCCTTACCTCCCTGTGAGTCACCAGAACAAATCTATCTTACGAATCCAGTCTAATTCTATCTCGAAACTTACAAAAAGGCATCGGACTAATAGACCTCGCAACGATACACCGACTTACCATCTCTGCACCCTCGACAATAAAACGTACGGGGGATTATCAACCCTTGCCGCTGATAGTCGACTTCGACACAATCAACCTCTCTGTTTCCTCATTTCCCAATTGGCTCTTCTCAACAAATTCGCGGTCGACTAAGACAATAACTTGTAAACCATCAGTTTGGCTTCGAGCAGCTATCAAACTTGTCAGGCCAGTTTATCAAACAACTTCTTGCTTTACTCCCCTGTGAGTCGCCATCACATATCCATCTGCCAAATCAAGTCAAACTCTACATGTTCATTAATCCAGAGTAACTGAAAATCACCCCACTTTCTATCCAACTTTATCCCATCATCCAGCCTCACCCATAAGTGGGAACTCGATCGCGGCTTCAATTTCCGCGCCCCCACAAACGCTTCTGTCAGTGGTATGTCAAAATGAAAATCGTGCCGTCTCCTCCTGGAGACATTCGTTCTCCCACATAACTAATTGCCAATCGGCTTATCCGGTTAGATCAGCGGACAACAAAACAATTGTTTTGCAAACGAGCGATTTAGTCTTTCCCAATTAACAAAAGCGTCTGGCAAAGCGGTAATAGCAATTACCCACTCGAGCTTGCTGTATATCACCCGAATCATATTTGTCACGATTTGCTTGTCTGTCGGCTCATTTTTAACCCTACACCTTATCATCGCGTTATACCAAGCTGACTGAAACCAAAACCTCCGCATACAGAATTGATCGTTAAGGCAATTTAGTTTTCAAAGGATCAACACGACCGACCACATTGACCTCGACGTTGTGAAACGCTTATCAATACATCTCGATTGATTTCCCACCTAACAACTTCACCAGCTACATTCCACATTGATTTAGCAAAATTCGATTAGCAAAATTGTTCTTTCTGATTGAGTGTGATAGTAGAATACTTTTCGCACCTTGACGTTATGACAGCTCTTCGCAAAGCCTACTTAGCCGAGAGGAAAAGGAAAAACCGATCAAAGAAACATGCAGAGGAGCGATCGAGCGAATTCTCCTTAACTATTGACGATAGTTATCAAAGAAATACGATTTCAGAAACAACCAGTTGTAATGTTCATATTGAGGAGCATGTGGAATTCGACGCCGATGTTGAATCAAAACAAAAAAGGCAAGATAAAATTACTTGGTCTTCGAGACGTTATATTAAACTCGAGCTTTACCCGCATATGCTGGGCCCAAATCCCAACCGTATCCCAACAAACGCCGAACTGGACCGATGCAAGGAGATTACCAAGAATTTCAAACTCTTCGAATATGGTAAAGTCGTTATTCACGATAAGAAAGACAAGTCAAAGATTATCGCCGTCATCGAATTCACGCCAATTGACAAACTAAACTCCGATGAATTCACTGACATCAATTACATCACACAATTCTTACACTCAGCTAAAACGTTTGTCAATGCAGTTGGATCAGAATCAAGGTCATGGGGAGGGAAGATGTTCGCAATAGGTTGGAGGAAGGCTATGGTCGGCTTTCAGCTTATTGGTCTTTATCGTAACAAGGCTGCAATTGATCGTTCACCGGAAGCTTATGAATCGCTTATGAGGAAATCGGGGAGGGCTTCGAGTATCCTCGGTCGATTCTTTCGCCGTCTTGCAAATGTCGCTTTTGCCGACAATCAAGATACAATGAATAAAAATTCTATCCCATCAATTGGACAGCCGGACTTTGGAATGCCACTAGGAGAAGACGATTGCGCACCCAACTTGACCTTTACCACAGATGGTTTCTTTAATCAACCGCACTGCGACACCGAAGATTTGTCGGAGTTTGCCTTTGGCTTCTTCACTCCAGTGAATAAAGCAGATTGGTCCCTACCAAATTCCAAGACGTTATCTCCATCTACGGGACGCGCCTTCGTTTTCCCAGATTATCGATGCGGTATTGATTTGTCAAAGAACAATGCAGTTGTTAAGGTTGTCTGGCGAGCAAAAGAAGTTCGGCATTGCACTTTATTTTCCGCAGACGATTCCGTTTACAATCAATTGGGAATGTCTCTCCAGATAAACAAAAAGACGGCAAATACTTCGCACGACATAAATTCCGGCGCTATCTTCAAGAGACCGGCATATAAAGAGAAACCTAAAGAAAAACTTTATATTGGTAATGTTGCCCATTATGTTCAAGGCTTGCTTTGAGAACCGCTTGATATAGTTGAGCGGTAAACTTATGAAATTGTACTTAACGGGCAAAATAATATCCTTTAATCTTTCTAACTCTTGCCTGATCCAATTGTACGAAATTGAGAAATTAGCACTCTTACTGCAATTCATGCTCATCTTAAGCCCTTGAGCGACCTGGTACTTGACTGCATTGTCACATTCATGAGTCCATATGGATGTTTTCGTTTGCTAATTTGTTGCTATGCTCAGAATTTCATCATTTGCAGACAAATGCCTTGACTTTGAAAGATAAGCAGGGCCATATCTAATAACCAGACCGGTTGGTTTTATGTCAAAGAGTCCAGTCAATGTTAGGTGCTTCGATGGACTTTATATCAGGCTTGGTGAGGTAGCTCCCGTTTGGACTAAGCCTGGCTTCGAAAACTTGACCAGCCAAGCCAACAATTTTTTTCACTTAACTGAACTCATGCGCGCTGTGTACCTAACACCAAGCGGAAGTCCTTTGGTCAGGATATATAAATGGGCTTATGTTCAAGTCACACATTGTCGAAACTTATTCCATCAAGACAATCTACTTCTCCATCTCCAAAACAAGAACCCCTTATACCTATACACCAGTCAATACGTCAAACATGGACTTTGTAGTTGAAGGCTCAGGAGTGATTTGCCCTCTTAATTTTTCCGGTGTGGTAAAACTACTATCCAAGGTAAGAAGTTCTTCTTTTCGCTTCTACTTATACTAACATCATTTTGAATACAACAGGAGACATCTTTTGACTATGATAAGGGCACCTGCAATGTTTACTTAGTCAAAGTTCCAGATTTATCATTCACCTTCATTGGCGACGATAATGTTTACCGGGAGGACGCCAAATTCATTCAGACAATTGTGGCTCCATGTCTAGAGGATTTAGGCGTAAACTTGACTTTGCTGGGTAAATATGAACTCAAAGGATTAATTATCAGGGATGATGCTTGCGGTACAACATGGGAGTTTAATCCCTTGCTTGCAAGAATGTCGAAACAATTAGATCACCTCAAGGTATCGGGTAGCGGATGCATTGTCACTGTCAACTTAGCCTTGGCTGCAGACAAAGACGGACATGGACAAGATGAAATTTTGGTTAACAATGCCCCTTCAGTAAGTTTGATACCTCAACTTTATGATCAACACTGACAATTTTGTTTAGGACTTTGCCTCCTTAATCCAGCTTCGTCTAATTGTAAATATACGTCATCGGGATACAATTGATTTGAAAGTTATCGATAGTGGCACTATTATCCAGTTCTGTGGAACATTTATCGGTGAAGAGACTGACTCCGGAATCATTAGACTCCTTGTAAGTCTCGACAAGCTCCTGAGTGAGACAATCAACTGATTCATCATTGAGTTTTAGATTGAGTAGTACAATAGGTGTGCACGTTATTGGTAGCCAATCTATAAATAATGTGTAATATAACTGTGAATGACTTGTATAAATTCAAGCCAACACCCGGCTCTACTGATGAGTTTCAAGTAATAAGGGATTGGTTCTTACAATTAAATCGAACCCATTCCTCTTACCAGTTTCATGGCATGCTTGCGGGATTCTTTAATCAGTACCCCGTGGGGGGCGAGTTGTAATGTTGAACTTGAGATAAACCCCTATCCTCTACACATTGTCCTGACTTGAACATTCGACTCAATCAAAGATGATAAATTCCAAATCAAAGATAACCAACAGTAATTCCCCAAATTTCGAGTCAACGTGTCACCAAAGTTCTGATTATTCAATTCCGCATAAACTGGGACGATGCGATCAAGCGTGTGATTCATGTGGGGCTCTCCATTGGCACGATGAGGCAACACTCCTCGACCGTGGTAAAATGACGACATCATTTTCAATGTGTTGTCAAAAGAACAAGGTCGCCTTGCCTGATTTCGAAGATACAGCACCGAGGTATCCGTCGGTACTCAGGAAGTTACTAACTGGGAAATCAGATGGTAAGAGTTGTCATTTATTTTTAAACCAACGCTAACAAGGTTACCTCAACAGATGATGTGAACTTTCAACAATCAACACGATTGTACAACAATGCCATATCATTTACATCGTTAGGTGCAAAAGTCGACCATTCAGTTCAAGGGCCAATGGGAGTTAACATTTTCAAGATCTCCGGTGCCCTTTCTCATCGAATTTCTAGCTTGGAACCAACGAACAATACACCAGGATTTTCCCAAATATACGTTGTTGGCGACAATGGACTTGAAGAGGCCGAATATAGACTGAATTGCGCTCTGGGTCGAAGTAGGGATAACATCAAGAAGTCAAAAATGAAACGAGGCACAATTCTCATGCTCGTCCACCTAATGGGAGAGATCAATCCTTATGCGAAACGATTCCGCTCAGCGCTAGACGTACTCTCACGGTTGAATGCTCAAACCATCAGTTTGACGGGCGTGCCTAGATCCGGAGTTGATCCAAAACGGTACAATCATCCTACCGTCGATGAGGTAGGGGTTGTAGTCCAAGGCAATGGGGACATTATTGGCAAACGCCAAATTGTCCTTCATCGCAAAGATGATTCTCTAGATGAGATTTCGGATATGCATTCCTCGTATTTCCCCCTTCGATACCCAATTTTCTTTCCATACGGTCAGCAACAATGGGATAATTTATATAGTGCGTGGACTGGACGAGGTAAGCTTATCCACAGTCCTCTGAATTTTTACTGTGTTGGAATGTTGTCAAATTAACTGATGGTTTGAGTAATCCATTGTACCTCTGCAGTTAAGGACAGGAAGGTTGGCTCGCTCGAGTGGTTTGCATATCTGTTGTTCAGACGTCGGAAGAGATTTTCACCCATTTTGGCCGGTCGTTCTCTCACTCAAGAATTGCTTGTCGATATGTATGTTTGCGTTGAAAGGGGACGCCTATCCTTTGTCACAAAGAACCAAGGGAAGCTCAAAGCGGCAAACTATAAACGTTTGATAAACTCTCTGGAAAATCAGTCGCCAATAAGTGGGAGATGTGTGATTCTACCTTCATCATTCATCGGAAGTCCTCGGTGCATGCAACAACTGTACCATGATGCTATGGCGATCTGCCGAAAATTTGGACCGCCTTCGCTCTTCATCACTATGACTGCTAACCCAAAGTGGGAAGAGATAGTTAACGAGATTCCCCCGGGAGAAAAGGCTTGCGACCACCCGACAATTGTAGCTCGCGTCTTCTACTTGAAAATGCAAGAATTAATACACCAAGTGGTAAAGTTGGAAAGATTTGGAAAGGTCTTGGCATACGTTTATACGGTCGAATTCCAGAAGAGGGGTTTACCTCATCTTCACCTAATGGTTACGCTAGACGAAAAGGATAGACCAGTTACGCCGGAGGAGATAGATTCGATCGTTTCTGCGGAGCTTCCAGATCCTGAAAAGTCGCCTAAGCTTCATTCTCTTGTCTCTGAGTTCATGTTACATGGTCCGTGCAAGGGGCGGCCCTGCTGGAATGGGAAATCCTGCAAACTTGGATTTCCTAAACCATACTCAGAGCGAACGGTCAATGTTGATGGTGCTTATCCGGTTTACAAGCGAAGAGACGATGGCGCTCGAGTCCAAAAACATACCTCAATATTCAACAATGGGTCGATTGTTCCATATAATCCGTACCTCACACTTAATTTCCAGTGTCATATAAACGTCGAGGTGCCAGTTAACACTACTGCCATCAAGTATCTCTACAAATACATTACAAAAGGCCACGATAGGATGGCGTTAGGCATCGAGTCTCACGATGAAGTCAAATCTTTTGTTGATGGAAGGTACATTAGTGCGGTAGAGGGTGAGCGTCGCTTATCTCATGTGGATTTTTTCGTAGACTGACATTTGTATAACAGCTGCCTGGCGGTTGTTCAAATTTCCACTATCCAACAGATTCCCTGCTGTTACAAGATTAACTATACATGATGAGGACGAACAAGTCGTTTATTTTGAGGGGGAAGACGGCCTTGCTGGACAAATCGACAGCGGGAAGGCAACTCGAACGACTCTTACTGGCTTTTTTGACTTAAATTCAAACGACGCCGTAGGTGCCGATGGTGTTGCAGCGAGGTCAATATTTTATGAAGACGTTGCTGCTTATTTCTCGTGGAATAAATCGGAGAAGTGTTGGGTACCACGGAAGACGAAAGCTTTAACTGTTGGGCGAATATTTTCTATTTCTTACCTTGCTGGCAAGAAGTTCTACCTCCGGGTACTTCTTCTTCACCGTAAGAATATCGGCTCCTATGCCGAACTAAGGACGGTCGATGGGGAAATATTTGCTACTTATCAAGACGCTTGCAATGCGTTGGGCTTGCTGGTAAATGACTTCCTTTACGATCAGGCTCTACATGAGGCAGCACTTGTCCGCTCAGGTTTTCAACTAGCTCAAATGTTTGCAATGATGTGCATTCACTCTCCTCCATCAGCGCCGGCGGACTTGTTTAATACACATTATCTAAGCTTCACAGATGATTGCGGTCGAGTTGACATGAAGAAGCGGCACAGCAGACAATTGAACGACAAGGAACGACGAGTCTTGGGTCTAATGCGGGTGACTAGGCTGCTGGATGGAATGGGAGGATCTCTCGAGTCTTGCGGCTTAAAAATAACACGAAAGGAACGTAGGATACTCCGAGATATCGAAAAGGAAAGGGAAACTGGAGAGGACCCAAATTTGGTTTCAGAAAGACTCTCAGCTAACGTTGCAACCTTTAACAAAGCTCAGGGTTTGTTTTTCCAACGTATAAAAAATGCGCTAGGCGGTTTAAAGGGAAAAATTTTCTATCTTGATGGGCCCGGGGGAACTGGAAAGACTTTTTTGCTCAACAGCATAATCGATTGGACAAACATCAGTGGACACTCTAGCGTTGTGTGTGCCTCATCCGGTGTAGCGGCCCTCTTGTTGACGAATGGACAAACAGCTCACTCCACTTTCAAAATCCCAATTGATGTTCAACTAGGCGCCGAATGTTCTTTGGAAGGCGATACGTTAATTGGCGAACGTCTCATTAAATCTCGACTGATAGTTTGGGATGAGATTGTCACTATTCACAAAAATGTGATTGAAGCTGTCAACAAATCTTTAAAGCGGTTGTGCAACTCAGATGAAGATTTTGGTGGGAAGGTTGTTATATTCTCTGGTGATTTTCGTCAAATCCTCCCAGTTGTTAAATACAATGAATATCCTCCCGCGTACGCGTCGACTATCAAGTCGTCGAAAATTTGGAAATCCGTCATTCGGTTCAAGTTAACGGAAAACATGCGCCTTGCCCAGGCGATAACTTCATCTTCGGATGACAACAATCTTGCGTTTAGTCGAGCCCTGTTGATTTTGGGCGAGGGGAGGAAACAGAAATCTGACTTTGGCATAATCAAAATGAATCACATTAGAGATGGCACCAAGTACTTGTTTGCAAGTACTTGCTACTTGTTGGCAAGTACTCGTTGCCTTCCAACAAGTACTTGCCTACAGGTGTGGGTGCAAGTGCAGGTGTCTGAGATCTGAGAATTTTCATGCAAGTACTTGTACTTGTTGCAAGTGTGCACCTGCGCACCTTTACTTCAGATGGCACTTGATGTGCTTAGTTGTTCAGGTGTGTTTTTTATCTAAATTATTGATATTATTTTGGTTGATTTTTTACCAACTTTCCCGCACATTCTGAAGCAACCACTGTTGATGTGGAGCAATCCATTAGCTTTGGTAAGGAATATGCTTCTCTCAGGAGGCACAAGCTTAGTGCATAGTCTGTCACTAGGGGGATGAGTGTGGCATTTTACTCAAAAAATGGTAAGATCAAGAGGGGGCTTTTGAGAAAATGGAAGGCAAATAAGAAGAATGAGAAGAAAGAAGCAATGGAGAAATCTGGAAGAAAATGAAGGGCTTATTATTACTATTTACAATCACTTAGTTCACTTAGTTTACAAATACAAATCTATGAAATGAAAACACAAGAAATTTATCACCTTTATCTCTCAAAATAAGCTTGCATACTTTCAAGTACTTGCCACAAGTATGCAAGTACTTGCTTTGTCCTTCCCCTGCAAGTACAAGTACAAGTATGGGTGTCTGAGATCTGAGATTTTTCATGCAAGTACTTGTACTTGTTGCAAGTACGCAAGTATGAGGGGCCATCTCTAAATCACATCAACATGAAGGCTTGTGGTTCAAAGTGTGAGATGCGTGAAGAATTGACTAAATTTGTCTATGGGGATTTGGCAAACCGCTATGGCTCTGACAACGATGATAACGTCGCCTACCTGAATGAACGCTGTATTCTAGCCCCACTCAACCGTGATGTGAAGAAGCTTAACGATGAAATACTAGATCGGCTCCCTGGAAGTGCAACGGTCCTCAAG